ACTGCAGCCCATTTCTGTGCAGGAAAGGAAATTCTGTGCGCATGTTAATTTCTGCACAATTCTGCTTTGCTCAGTGGTGCAGAATTCCCCCAGGAATAAATACATATCCAGTTGAAACTGGAAGGGAAATTTTGGTAGGCAGAATACAGACTTAAGTTGAAATTTAAACAAATGCAAGCAGCAAGTCACCTCTAAATCACTGTCATTCAAATACTGACCCATATTAGCAAGTGAATTAAACAGGATTACAGCACAAGGTGCTATAAATGCAGCTGGCATAGTGGTATAATCATAGACTATATTGTTAAATGAAGAACTTGGCAATGTGACCGTTCAATTACCAATACCAAGCACAAGCTATAGATTCAAAGATCACATGCATAATTTTAACCTCAACCTATGTATACATTTTGTTTCCGCATTTAGACTGCAAGCAGCTTTGTGCAAGGACTTTTCTTCTACAGCAAACAATCGCGTTTCAAATAATTTGCCCTTGTTGGAAGACAAAAATATTAAATTCAGAGCTCTGCAGGCTTTCCTTAACTTTTGTTAAGGGTTTGGGGATCTTTGGAAAATTCCAAAATGCAGTTATATTTGTTGTGCTAAGTACATACATCTGAAAATTCTTTTATAACAGGTTTCCTGAAATACCCGTCATTGCCTTCAAATTCATTGCGCAATTATGACTCTTGAAAAATTAAGCCCACAACTGCATTTCCCTCCATGCTCCAGCTGACAGAATCCTACAGAGGTGGAATGTTAACTCCGTGCCAAGCTGGGATATTTTGTTCCACCTCAACTGAATTCAATGGCCAGTCATCATGCCTAATGGGGTGCTATTGAAGGATATGACCCTACACTGTAAATTTAGTCTCACCTATGCCATCTGATGTGGCTAGGGATGCATGAAAATTTGGTGTGCAAAACAGTGAAACTTGGCTAAGCTAGCGTTTTCAGCAAGGTAAATTCTGCATTTAAAAAATGGGTCGAGCAACTACATTGAAAAGTGATTAAAGCAATTTTTTTTAAAAACCTGAAAACTGGGGGGAGGAGGGGGAGCAGGTTGCAACTTTACAGTATAAGATTCCTGCGACTTTGAGAAGCTATAACATCTACACTGTAACAGGCCTTTGAAACTCAGTAACAAGAAAGCCCTCCATCTAGAGAAGTGCCTTTTCCCATGAAATTCCATTCAAGTTTAGCTAACTTAACACACTTATTTACATTTCCCAGAAAATTTAGGCAGAATGCCAATAGTAAACATGACCATTCTGAAGGCCAACCACCATGTGGATATATAAGAGCTGTCAGAGCAGATGTAGCACCAGGGGAAAGAGTAGAACCACCCTATATTCACTCTGGCCACCACTATAACTCCAGAAGCAGCATATGGTCTCAGCAGCTCATCCCTCACCCATGGGGCACCAAACTGGTGTGTGTGCGCACGCGTGTAGGAAATCCCATCTCTTGGGGGGGGGAAGAGAGGTAGACAGCCTGGCCAGGTTCCCCCAGATCTACCATATGGTGCCAGCAGCCCATTCCTCACCACCCTTTGGAATAAATCATCCTTAAAACAGGATTTGAAGACTACAGTAACTGTCAGAGGCGACAGGTTTCAGAGTAACAGCCGTGTTAACAGCTCACTGCTGTAGCTCACGAAAGCTTATGCTCAAATAAATTGGTTAATCTCCAAGGTGCCACAGGTACTCCTTTTCTTTTTGTCAGAGGTGAGCAATCTATTACAGGTGGGTGAGGTTCTGTGGCTTGAAATGTGCAGGAGGTCACACTAGATCAGGGGTGGGCAAACTTTTTGGCCCGAGGGCCACATCTGGGAATAGAAATTGTATGGCAGGCCATGAATGCTCAGAAAATTGGGGTTGGGGAGCGGGCTGCAGGGTGGGGCCAGAAATGAGGAGTTCAGGGTGCGGGAGGGGGCTCCATCTGGGGGTGCGGGCTCTGGGGTGGGGCTAGGGATGAAGAGTTTGGGGGTGCAGGAGGGTGCTCCAGGCTGAGATGAGGGGTTTGGAGGGGGTCAGGGCTGGGGCAGGGGCGTGGGGAGAGGCTCAGGGGTGCAGGCTCCAGACGCACTTACCTCAAGCTGTTTCCAGAAGCAGCAGCATGTCCCTTCTCCGTCTCTTACACGGAGGCGTGGCCAGGCAGCTCTGCTGCATGCTGCCCCATCTGCAGGCACCACCCCTGCAGCTCCCATTGGAGTGCTAGAGGGGGCTATGCCACGGCTTCTGGGAGCCGGGTGGAGCAGCCCCCAACCCTGCTCCCCACCTGGAGCGCCGAAGAGGGACAAGCCCCAGACCCCGCTCCCCAGTGGGAGCTTGAAGGCCGGTGGCCCATAGTTTGCCCACCCTTGGACTAGATCATCATGATGGTCTCTTATGACCTTAAAGTCTATGAGAACAGCCTTCTCCTGCTGTTTGCTAATGTAGTTGGTCCAATAGGTCAAGCATGCAGCAGTGCTGAAAGCTCAGGATTCAAACCCCAATGAAACTGTAACATCTATCACCATTGTGTAACCAGAATTTGGGTTTAATCTTTCCTTTTCTAAAAGGCTAAAAAATTATACCAAAAATACATTAAAGAACAATCACACAAATTCATTCAGTGCATGAGGAAGGAGTCCTGTGGAAAAAACAGTATGTGATCTAATGATTGACTATCAGAATGCATACACACACAAGAGAGCAGAATTAAGGTTGCACAGCAAATGTAAATATGACATTTCCAAACTTTCAAGTGCTTGACTTCACAACTCAGACGATTGTGCGCATCAATACAGATGCACACAACGATACAGACTCAGTGGTGATGCTGCACCTGACCCTAACACAGCACAAGGCCTTGGCACACAGGATCCAAGTGTGGAGAGGGTCAGTGTGGGTGGATCCAAGTGTAGAGTGAGAGGATTTGGTGTGGGACAATCTGGGTGTAGGCAGTTCAGTGGGGGTGGGGGGCGGAAGGGAGAAGATTAGGGGGGGGGGGGGGGGAAGAGAGATCTGGAAGCACAGAGGCTTGTTGGAGGGATTCCAAGGGCAATAGGACTCTGCAGGGGCTTCCAGGTGAAAAAGTGGTTGGGGCTCAGCGGAGAGGTCTGGGTGTGGGGAAGTCAGTGGGAGTGGGGTGGGGGTCTGAGTACAGCTAAGGGGGGGGTCAGTGGATTGGGGGTCTGGATGTGGGGGCTCAGGGTGGTGCAGGGGGGGCCTTGAGTGCAGGGAGCTCATCAGGGGTGGTCTTGGTGCATAGATTGGTGTTTGGGTGCAGGGGTTGGGGTCTGGGTATGGAGGGCAAAGGGGGTTCTGGATGTACAGGATAAGGCTTGGTGGGGACACCTGGGAGGTCCAGATGCCTGGGGTTGGGGGGAATGGGGGAGCAGCTCCCCATATGGTACCCCTCCCCCAGCAGCTGAGGAGCAATGGGGGCAAGAAGCAGGGGAGGATGCTGAGCTTCCTGCAGCTGGGGGGAGGTTTCTGGGGGTAGGTCTGACACAGCCCCAGACATGTATTGCAAGGGAAGAGGAAGTCCCATCCTCTCCTGCTTCCAGCCCAGCTGGGACTAGCAGCTGATCCCAGCTCAGGGTAGGAGTCACTGGCAGGGGTGTCCCCAGCCCTGTAGTGATTTACCTCTCTGCTAGCTGTTCCGAGTGCCTGAAACATACCTGTGCAGCTAGGGAGTGGTGTGTGACTGCTCTTGCACCTTCCCTTTGGCTTCCTTGTCAGAAAATCATTTTTGTGTTTTCTGCAGGGAAGCAAAGAAATCTGCAGGGGACATGAATTCTGAGCACACGCAGTGGTGCAGAATTCCCCCAGGAGTAACTTAGTATAACCTTCCCGTTACATGAATGAGTGGCAACTGCATATAGGAAAGTGTCATAGCATTGCTGGACTTTAAGTGTGACACATTTAAGGCACTTAAAAAGGAAAGAAAGTTCCATGGTAATCAGGTATTTTAGTCATATCTAGGTATAAAGTTATTTACTTTACAACTGGAATCTCTCACATTACATTGGAGTTCTCCTTTAAACAATTTCCCCCCTCCCAATGTCCCCAGCCCATTTTAAGAATAAAATCTTTGGGTCAGAATAGTTTTCTGCAAAATTAAAGGAGCTTATCAAAAGATCAAGATATACTAGTGTTACTGGGAGACTTTTACAATATACAACATTCAGTTTTGTTTGGAAGATGGCATTTTTAACTGCACAGCAGTAAAAATTTCATATTTATAATTGCAGTAAGAATACTCAAGCTTTTAAGTAGTGTGCTGTAAATGGAACTGCCATTTATAAAAGATACAAAATAATACACTGACCAAAGTACAATACTATTAAATGCATCCTGTAAGATACAAGAGCAAATTCTAAGTATCTCAGAAAAACACTTATATACTTGCTCATCTTTACTCATGTGAGTTGGCTATAGATTTCACTGGGACTGTGCACGTGTGAAATTAAGCACATGGAAGTCTTTTCAGGATCAAGGCTTAGTAGGCTGTCTCCTGTCCAATAAGGATTCATTGTTTTCATTTAACAGGACATAGCCAAACTTGTATAGAAGAAACAAACATTTAAAAATGAAAACAGATAAATTGCCTATATTAAAAAAGTGAATTTACAAATACCTCTTCATATTTCACCCATTGTTCTTCAGGAAGAATTTGTTGTCTCATACTCAAATCAAGGGCTCTCTTGATGCGAAATAGTCGTTCATTATAAAGATTTTCTGGAAGCCTCTTCAGTGCTACTTTTACATCATCATCTTCATATATGGTATCATCTCGCATTAATCCTGTAACAGTAGCATTTTTCAAGCTACTACAAACATTTTCACGATTGCAATAGAAGGGTGTGGCTAATTTAAAACCTATCTTGCGTATCAATTTCAAAACTAATGTATTTGTATTCGACTTTAAAAATCTGGAAAGTTTCTTTACACAGGCAATGGATGCACACAAATGTTTGCTGTTTTCATCTCTTAAAAAAATTAAGACACCTACCAAGTTGGTTGAATCCAGCTGCGTTGTAATACCATTTGCGAAGGCCTTCTAACAGTCGACCACTTGCTGAAACTGAAAGTGATCTCTGTTAGTTCAGAAGTAAGACAAAAAACTTAACATTGGTAGATAACTAGCAGTGGATTAACATGCAAATATTTTAATATCTACTTTGCTATGCATATATGTTAATTATGCCATTTAATCTAGGCTACACCAAAGCCAGTTTTGTTTTCATCTGCTCTTCACTGTTTTTAAAATGATACTGTGCACATAAGATTATAGTACTCCTACAATACTCATTTTGTTATCTGCCTTATTAAACAGGGTCTGAAAGTTATATTGGACCAAGTCCTGGACCAGTACCAAAAAAACCCCTCAGACTAATACCAGGAACTAATGACAATTTTAAGGTACATCACCTCACAACACACCAGGAATAAAAATACACTCTATACCATTAAAAAGCAAAGATGCATTGTTTTCCAATATTACTTGTTTATATTTGTGTATTTCCCCTAGCCCTTGAGCTATGAGGTATTTTACCCTGAAGTCATGTCACTTTGGTTGTTATCCTTTTTCCTCCCCCCACACTTAAGTACAGTATTATTTTAGTGTCTGCTTCCACAAGCAGAACTAGTTAAAATCTCTCTAAAGACAAACACCAGCTTACAACTTACAACATTTGTCTAGCTATTACTGAGACAAGCTGGTGAACATTATAGCATAACTCAAAAAACAGACAATTAGACATTTCAGAGCACTGATATTATCAAGAAATTTTAGTTGAGTTTTTACAAACCACTCCAAGATCACAAACTAAGATTTCTATGTTAAAGAGAACCTAGACCAGTTTAAGTGATGTTTAGTAGAGAACAAAAGAAATTTTCAGTGTTTAATAAAATTGGGCAACCATTGCTCCCCTTGAACACAGAAGTATATCAAACTGCAGAATGGATATTGACAGCCTCAGTTTTCACTGGGAAAGAGAACAACAGCGAAAGTAAATATTAACTTAAATTTTGCTTAAACAGAGTTTGGGGAAGGGGAGGATTTTTGCACAAAGTTAACATTGCACAATACATGAAGAAAATGATTAAGTGAGGCACAGGTGGAAAAATACTTGTACTGATCCAACAGCAAGATCTTTTTAGAACTCTATTTCTATTCTATTGGTTATAGCTTTTTATACCACCCTAATCACGAAGCACTTTCCAGTAGTGCATTAAGCATTTACTAACATCTGTCACGTTTGTTCTCATCCTCTTCCAAGAGGCGTGTACGGTGCAGCCTTATTTTGGTATGCTTGTTTTCCTTTTTGTTCCTGAGCCAGTAATCAACACTAAGATGGATCACAATAAGTGATATTATAGAATAGTTTTACATATTATACTTGTATCTCATTTTCATACATTACTCCGTCTCTCTGGTCTTGCTCTGTGGAAAGATTTTAGTGCTTAAAAGGGACACTATCAATTTGAAATTTAGTCCGTTACACAAAAGGAATTAAAAAGAGAGTTTCAGGCACTCCCCACAAATTTTTGTGATTTTACAATCACACTTGCTATATTTAGGATTCTTCTAGGAATAACACGCATGGCAATAGAGAGGCTTCCAAGGAAGCTAAGTTTGTGTGGGATAGGCAAAGAAGGAGAGAGAGAATGCTGATGAGTGCCTTAAAAATACATGAAACATATTGCAGAGTATGAATGAGCAGTTTTAAAGAAACCATGAACAGCAGAAAGAAAAGGAGTACTTGTGGCACCTTAGACTAACCAATTTATTTGAGCATAAGCTTTCGTGAGCTATAGCTCACTTCATGATGAGCTCACAAAAGTTTATGCTCAAATAAATTGGTTAGTCTCTAAGGTGCCACAAGTACTCCTTTTCGTTTTGCGAATACAGACTAACACGGCTGTTACTCTGAAACCCATGAACAACAGAAAGGTAGCAGGTTTACTATGGCAATTAACCAGATGGAGTTCCCCAGCAGAGGAAGACAGAGTGATAAGGTGATTCTCTCTCCCCCTCCTCCCCCCCCACCATCACACCTCTCCCAAGTTTAACTTCCAGGTACTCTACAAGGAAGAGCCCACGATAGAACAAAAACCAATGTGTCACCAACTCCACTGCTAACTGTTTCTCTGCGCCCTGGCCGACAGGCATCCGGACCCTGGAGGCTCCTACCCAGGTCCTGGTCTTGACTTGCTAAGAATGCAGCATGCATATCCCCGCTAACAAAAGCCAGGCAGGGGAAACTATCCAGTGTGAGGGGTGTCTGTTGGTGGACTCACACAAAGTGAAAGACACACCCAGAAGGAGATGGTTTGTCTGTGTAGCATCTGGGAGCACAAGGACATCATCAACAGGATGCTCATGAAAACATCAAGAATGGAGCATGCTAGCTGACTGGAGAACATTACAGCCCTACCAGAGGGGGAAGGGGAACTGGCTGCTGGCCACCTCATGCAGTAGACAGTGCTCCACTTCCAACTTGGGTCCCCTGTCCATCAAAGTCAAGAACCAGTATGCTGTAGTGGCAACATGACAAGAGGAGCAGACACCAATGGCAGAGGGAAAGGAACCACCTGTCCCCAAGGCTGGAACGCTCACAGCCACCACACCCAAAAGGAGGAGACAAAAGGTGGCGGTGATTGGTAACTTATTTCAGAGGGGGACGGAGGCATCCATCTACTGACCTGATTCAACATCCCAGAAGGAGCACTGCCTGTCTGAATCCCACATCTTAGACATTATGGAAAGGTTGCCAAGGTTTATCCGGTTTCAGAGTAACAGCCGTGTTCGTCTGTATTTGCAAAAAGAAAAGGAGTACTTGTGGCACCTTAGAGACTAACCAATTTATTTGAGCATAAGTTTTCATGAGCTACAGCTCACTTCATCGGATGCATACTGTGGAAAATACAGAAGATGTTTGTTTTTACACACAAATCACTACAAAAGGTTCTCTCTCCCCCCACCCCACTCTCCTGCTGGTAATAGCTTATGTAAAGTGATCACTCTCCTTACAATGTGTATGATAATCAAGGTGGGCCATTTCCAGCACAAATCCAGGGTTTAACAAGAATGTCTGGGGGGGGGGGGCGCAGAGCAGTTAGAAAAACAACTGCTCTGCCCCCCCTCAGACGTTCTTGTTAAACCCTGGATTTGTGCTGGAAATGGCCCACCTTGATTATCATACACATTGTAAGGAGAGTGATCACTTTACATAAGCTATTACCAGCAGGAGAGTGGGGTGGGGGGAGAGAGAACCTTTTGTAGTGATAATCACCCATTTTTTCATGATTTGTGTGTATAAAAACAAACATCTTCTGTATTTTCCACAGTATGCATCCGATGAAGTGAGCTGTAGCTCACAAAAGCTTATGTTCAATAAATTGGTTAGTCTCTAAGGTGCCACAAGTACTCCTTTTCTTTTTGCAAGGTTTATCCATCCTTCTGACCACTACCCCATGCTTCTCATTCACTAAGATCAGCACCGACTACTGGGCTCTGGGAGCAAAGGTGAAGGAGTCAGAGTTGCAGGCTGAGGGTAAAGGGCCCAGTCAGGGACATGTGTATGTTGGAGATGAATGCATAGCTGTGTAGTGTTGACAGGAGGGCTTTGGCTTCCTCAACCATGGGATACTGTTCAGGAAAGGAGGACTGCTAGGAAGAGATAGGGTTCACCCAACCAAGAAGGGGAAGGGCATTTTTGTGCCCAGACTTGCCAACCTAACGAGGAGGGGTTTAAACTAGGTTCAAAGGGGACCCATGACAGAAGCCCACAGGTGGGTACAAAAATTAATCCTACCAGAAGTGGAAACAGACAAATTTTTAAGAATGAGTACAAAAGAACAGCACAACAAAATGACAAAGGCTAAGGCACAAAGTGAGTTACACCTAGCAAGGGACATAAAAGGCAACAGGAGGCGGCTGCTAATATATTTACAGAACAAGAGAGACAGGAAAGAGTGGGTCCACTACTTTGCAGGGAAGGAGGCTAATAACAGATGACATCCAGAAGGCTGAGGTGTTGAATGCCTATTTTGCTTCAAACCTCACTAGAAAATCATGACCAGATGCTTAACACAATTAGTACTGACAAGGAGGAAGGAACATAGACCAGATTATTCTTTAACCTGTTCTGTTTTTTATTTAAATAAGTTAGATATAGTCAAGTCAGCAGCACCTGACAAAATTCACCCAAAGTACTTCAGGAAGTAGCTGAAGCAATCTCAGAAGATTCAAGAACCCTGGAGAACAGATGAGGTTCCAGAGGACTGGAGAATGGCAAACACAGTATCTATCTTTAAAAGAAGAACAAAGAGGACCCAAGGAAGTATAGACCAGTCATCTTAAATTTGATACAGTGCCTGAAAAGTTAAACAATCAATTTGTAAGCATCTTCAAGATAATAAGGTTATTAGTAATAGTCATGATCAAATCATGCCAAACTAATTTTCTCCTTTGATAGGATTACTGGCCTGGATGATGAGGGAGAAGCGGTGGTTGTGATACACGCTGATTTTAGTAAGGCTTTTCTGACATATTGCCACACGATTTTTCATAAGCAAACTAGGGAAATGTTATTTGATACTATTACTATAAGACGGGTGCACAACTGGTTCAAAGACTGTACTCAGAATGGTTCATTGTCAAACTGGGAGAACATATCTAGTGGTCTTTTTCACGGGTCACTCCAGGGTCTGACACTATTCAACATTTTCATTAATGTCTCGGATAACAGAGTGGACAGTATGCTTATAAAGTACGTAGATGACAGCAAGCTCGGAGGAATTGGTAGCTCTCTAGATGACAGGATTAGAATTCAAAGTGACTTTGACAAATAAGAGAATTGGTCTGAAATCAAACAAATGAAATTCCAGACAAGTGCAAAATTCTACACTCAATGGGGCGGGGGGCAGGGGAGGGAAGAGGAATCAAATACACAACTACAAAATAGGGAATATCTGGCTTGTCAGTAGTACTGCTGAAAAGGACCAGGGATTATAATGGATCACAAACTGAATACAAGTCAACAATGTGATTCACCTGGAAAAAAGGTTAACATTCTGGGGTGTATTAACAGGAGTGTCATATGTAAGACAAGGGAGGCAATTGTCCTGATCTACTTGACACTAGTGAGGCCTCAGCAGGAGTACTGCATGGGCACCATGCATCAAAGTAGATGTGTACAAATTAGACACAGTCCAGAAGACAGCACCTAAAATGATAAAAGATACAGAAAATTTGATCTATAAGGAAAAGTTTAAATGGCTGAGCATGGTTAGTCTTGATAGAAAGACAACGGGAGGCGGAATAAAGGGACCTGATAACAGTCTTCAAATATGTTAAAGTCTGTTAAAACGAGACAGCAATCAATTGTTCTTCATGTCCATTGAAGGTAGGAGATGTAGTAATGGGCTTAATCTGCAGCAAGGGAGATTTAGGTTACATATTAGGAAAATCTTTCCAACTATAAGGATAATTAAATTCTGGAATAGACTTCCAAAACAAATTGTGAAACTACTATCACCGGAAGTTTTAAGAACAGGTTAGAGTTGACAAATACCTCTCTAGGATGGCTTAGGACTCTAGGTATACTTGGTCCAGCCTCAGTACAGGGGATGAACTAGATGAGCTCTCCAGGTCCCTTCCAGCCCTAAATTTCTGACTGTATATGAAAACACAATAGGAAACAGAAACTTCTATGAGGAGGGGAGAAACTAGGCACATTAGGTCAGCCCCCTGACAACAAGTGAGAACGTTAAGCCACCTCACAAATACCTTTGAAAAAGCAAACCTACCCAGACTTCACAAAGAAGCAGAACACTGTAGAACTGAATTTACTCCGAGTCCCAATTCCCCAATCTAACTCCCCTCCCGCGCACACCGAATTCGCAGGTGGGACCCCTTGTCCCCAACCAACCCATCCTTCTGGCTCCCCTCGCCCCCACAGAGCCGTCTGCTGGGGCTAATGAGGCAGGGCTGCCTCCAGGGCTGCGGATGTGGCCGGGCGCAGAGAGAAAGGGTCAGGGGCCTCTCCCCCCACCCTCGGGCACAACGGCCCAACAGCGGCCGGGGGGACAGAAATCACCCGCTCCGCGCACGGAGCCCGGCACTGCCGTGTCCCCAGGCTCATCCGCGGCCAGAAGCCGGGAAGGACACGCGACTCGCGGAGGCCGCCGCCGACTCCTCACCTGGTGCCCTCACCGCCATCTTGACCTCCGAGAGGCGTGCAGGCTTCTGGGTAAATTACCGAGCCCAGCGTCACGTGAGGAGCGGGCACGCTCACGTGACCCGCGCGCGGCTCTTTGCGTTTGCGCAATGCGCATGCGCTCCGGGAGGCACGTAACGTAACCTGTGTCAGCAGAGCGGCGGGGCGGCGCCGGGTCCTGTGGAAGAGCGCAGAGCGGGCGGGGGGGTTCCCCAGGGTACTGCGACCCCACTGGCTCCCCCACGCGATGGCGCTGCTGGCGTGAGCGCGTCCCGCTGGCTGTCCCGGCGGCTCGGCAGTGCCCCGTGCTGCCTGGAAGGCTCCGCCCTGGGCAAAGCAGAGGCGCTGGAGGAGGCCGCGCTGGGGAGGGTGACCCGGCCCGGGGCGCCTCGGCCATCCGCGCGCAGGAGCCGCTTCCTTGGCTCGTTCCTTGGGCCCGCCCGCGCAAGGAGGGCAGGCTACACCCACGCGCGCCCGGGGTCTCTGGTGGGTCCTTTGCCAGGGCAGGGCGCTGTAAATGTACATATTCTCCTCCGGCTGCCGGATATTGCAGCAGCACTTAGACGACCAGCCGCGGTCAGGACTAGGCACCACACCAGCCTAGCGAGAGCCGGCCCCTGCCCCAAAGAGCTGACGCTCTAGGCCAAACCGACTGAATTTGATCGACTGCCAGAAACCCACAGAGTGAAGCACGGTGCAGTACGGACAAACCTTGTTAGGTTTGTGTCTTGCCTCTCTCATGCCAGCTGACCTTTTACTGGGCTTAAAATCTGCGCCCCCCCCTCCATGTTGTGAGTATTATTGATGGGTTAAAGTCTCCCCCAAAATAGAGAGTGATGAAATATTTAATCGAGCCAGGTGATAGCAGCATGCTGGCTACACAAGAGTAGGGCTCCTGTATTTTGGACTAATTTGAACACTTTACTTGCTTAGCAAATACATGACAGTTCAAACAACTGAAACACTGTAGGAAGCCAGTCTGATAGCCCAAGAAGTATAGCCCCTGGCATTCAGTGGCAGATGTTCTAGGTTCTTAATCCTGTGATAGATTTATCCCTTATGCAAGAACTGGTGAAATTCTAGGGCTGGTGTTGTGCGGTTTGTCAAGATTATCATAATGGTCTCTTCTGCCCTTAAAAAGATATGAAAAAAATAATGTATCTTTCTAAATTATACAAGAGACTACTCCAAGTATAGATAATTCCACCACTGGTTCTTCTTATACCAGCCCCCAACATGATACCTATTGACACATAAAAGTATTAGGATACCACTACTATGAATTATTAGCTTTTTTTTTAATTACAACTTTATTTTGAAACATTGCACATATCAGAGTTATTGAGAATTTCTTCTGAAGTGGAAAAAGTCACAAGCATTACTAATGGCTGACCAATTTACTAAAGCAGTTTAATTCACTGTCTAGGAATAGGAAGAACTTGAGAAAGCCACTATGGAACAAGTTTTAAAAGAAAAGCACGCTAAATTAAAACATTTTCCTAGCTCTATGGAGACTCCCTACTTCAGTACTGATCCTAAAGCCTGGTCTACAGCAGAAAATTAGCTCAATTTAATAACATGGCTTGGGGGATTGGTGAAAAAAAAAAAGGGGGTCAAAGTTAAATCAGCTTCATGTAAATTAGCTGTTACCACTCAAGAAAGAGATCTTGGAGTCATTGTGGATAGTTCTCTGAAAACATCCACTCAATGTGAAGTGGCAGACAAAAAAAGCAAACAATGTTGGGAAATATAAAGAAAGGAATAGATAAGACAGAAAATATCATATTGCCTTTATATAAATTCATGGTATGCCCACATCTTGAATATTGCCTGCAGACGTGGTCACTCCATCTCAAAAAAATTATATTGGAATTGGAAAAGGTTCAGAAAAGGGCAACAAAAATTATTAGGGGTATTGAACGGCTGCTATACAAGGGGAGATTAATAATATTGGGATTTTTCAGCTTGGAAAAGAGATGACTCAGGAGATATGATAGAGGTCTATAAAAGCATGACTGGTGTGGAGAAAGTAAATAAGGAAGTCTTATTTACTCCTTCCTATAACACAAGAACTAGGGGCCACCAAATGAAATTAATGGGCAGCAGGTTTAAAACAAAAGGAAGTATTTTTTCACACAACACACAGTCAGCCTGTGGAACTCCTTGCCAAAGGATGTTGTGAAGGCCAAGACTATAACAGGGTTCAAAAAAGAACTAGATAAATTAATGGAGGATAGGTCCATCAATGGCTATTAGCCAGGATGGGCAGGGATGGTGTCCCTAGCCTCTGTTTGCCAGAAGCTGGGAATGGGCAACAGGGGATGGATCACTTGATGATTACCTGTTCTGTTCATTCCCTCTGGGGCACCTGGCATTGGCCACTGTTGGAAGACAGGATACTGGGCTAGATGGACCTTTGGTCTGACCTGGTATGGCCGTTCTTATGTTCTTAATACTGGAGTGGTGTAGGAAAGTGTCCTACCGTGGTGAACAAAATAAGGCAGCACTTCCCAGAAACCTGCAAAGGATTGTAGAGTACCTCCATGAAAGCTTCCTAGAGATATCCATGGTGAATTTCCGGGCCATCCCCATGCACATAAACAGTCTTTTTTTGGAGAGCACCCTCTGCATAGCTGGAGTAGCCACCGATACCCACTACACCTATTTTTTTGTTCAGATTAAACATAAAAAATACCATGTAACCCTTACAGTTTGATTGGAAATGTGTACTCACCAGAGGTGCCTTCCCTGGCCTCATGCTGTGCTGCCAACTGGTCCTGTGAAGGGGTGGGGTCCAGGGTTAAAAACAGTTTTTGGCTGTCAGGGAGAATGAATCTTCCACTTGCCTGCCTCACGTTCTTCTCCTCTTTCTCAACAATGTCCTCCTTGTTGTTGCTCAGGGTCACCTGGGGCTTCTGGGAGGTATCCACGGAGCATGTGGGGTAGTTGTGGGGTCGCTGTCAAGAATCGCATGCAGCTCCTCATAAAAGCGGCTTATTTGTGGGGCAGAACCAGAACGACTGTTTGCTTCGCTTGTCTTTTGGTATGCTTGCCGAAGTGCCTTTATTTTCATGGGGCAGTGCTGTGTGTCCCTGGTGTAGCCCTTCTCCTCCACGCAATCTTGGCATAGATGTCAGCGTTTCTTCTGCTGGATTGGAGCTCTGCCAGCACAGACTCTTCTCCACACAGCAATAAGATCCACCACCTCTGTGCTGGAGCGCATTTGTGGCCTTGAATCTCCATGATCATCTGTGTTGGCAAGTTCTCCACACTGATCAAACAGGAAAAGAAAATTCAAAAGCTCCTGGGGCTTTAATAGGGGAGCGGCTGTTTCCTGTGTACCTGGCTGACATACTGTGGAGTTGAAAGTGCTCTTCATAGTGGTCACAGCAGAGACCTGGAGGCCAATTCATTTGAATTACACAGTGCAGTGTCTACACTATCCTCATGTCGACCCATGGATGTTGAATCAAGCGCTACGCCTCTCGTGGAGGTGAAGTACAGAAGGCAACTTTACAGGCCACTTAGGTCAGCGGAAGGGACCCGGTAGTGTAGACACATATATTATTAGATTGACTTAATGCGGCTTATGTCGACCTAAGTTGGTAGTGTAGACCAGGCCTAAGTCCCCAAGTAGACAGCAGTAGGGCAAGAAGAATTCTGTCAACCTAACTACTGCCTCTTGGAAGAGGTGGCTTACCTACAACAGGTAGGAGAATCCCTCCTGTTGGCATATGTAGTGTCTACACTGAAGAGCTGCAGTGGCACAACTGTGCCCTTGTAGCATTTTAAGTGTCGGGAAGCCCTAGGGAATACATACTAGCTTTACCAGCCTAGCAAAATATTTATTCTTTCCCCTCTTGACCAAAGACACAGACACCACATTGTTTCCAGAGCCTGAAGAGGCCCACCCAGCTCAGGACTCCAGCTCCCTGCCCTAATTCTTCCTCCCCATCTCCCATAAGTAATCAGAATTGGGGTCTTCCCTTTCCCAACATCGTCTCAGGCACTGCAGACAGGGTTCCAGGGCTGAGGGCCTTCCTCCTCACATTGGCATCCATGGAAGGTATAGAAAAGTAGACTTAAGGCAACCTCAGTAACTATAACCATCCTTTTATTAAACCCACCCTCTTATGCATGCTCCATTTAAAAGGATAGGTACTTGCTAGACCCCAGGATCAGTCTATTCTGCAATTCCACAGCAGAATCCACTCCATCCTGCAGAATTGTGCTCCAGAATCCATTTTGTTGGTTTTATTTTAAATCAATGGCAATTGCTCTCATGACTGTAATTGTGACGCTGAGCCAGAAAGGGTTAAACAACTTGCAGGCAAAATGACCCAAATTCTACCTCTAAAGACATATTAGGAAAGAAATAAATGATAACTAAGGCTATTCCTTATAAATAGCTAGCAAAGCCATGTTAGATAGACTGGAGCTTTGAAATGTAGACTTGTATTGTTAAGGAATTGGAAGAAGATAGTGATTGTAATAGTCGATGATTACCTATATCTTGTTAGAGATTAAAAGTGTCACTAGATGGTTTCAGTCTGTCACTATGTTCTATTGACTCAAAGATCAAAGGAAAATATTAACATTTAAATGAATGGTGAATGTGGTAATATCAGTCTATTTCTCTTTGAAATATGTAATAAACTACCTGTAAATGACAGGTTTCAGAGTAGCAGCCGTGTTAGTCTGTGTTCGCAAAAAGAAAAGGAGGACTTGTGGCACCTTAGAGACTAACAAATTTGTTTGAGCATAAGCTTTTGTGAGCTACAGCTCACTTCATCGGATGCATTCAGTGGAAAAAGTAGATTCCACTGAATGCATCCGATGAAGTGAGCTGTAGCTCACGAAAGCTTATGCTCAAACAAATTTGTTAAGTCTCTAAGGTGCCACAAGTCCTCCTTTTCTTTTTACCTGTAAATGGTGGAAGATGGGCAGTTGCCTTATGCTAATCCATACAGCTAATTACTGGTGATGCTTAGGAAATAGGCCTACTTCAAAGCCACAATGCTTCACTTATTATTCAACTGCTGTCAAGAAGCTGCCAGAGAACTATAAAGAGAACTCTTGAGCCCTGATCCTGTTATCTCAGATCTGCTTCAGCTCCATCAAGGAAAGTTTGAGTCACAAGACTGAGGTCCCCAGCTACAGTCTGGGTCATCCTGATATTGGTCATAGGTTATAGTCCAGTGGAATTTATTCTGAAAGAACTTTTTGCAACTCTAAAGCTCACCGTCTTTCCTATGAAACTAAACTAAGAACTTTATTAATATCTGTATGTATAATGATTTTTAACCTATACTCACTCTCCTTTTTTTAAAATAAATTTTAGTTTAGTTAATAAGAATTGGCTGTAAGCATGTATTTGGGTAAGAACTGAAATATTCATTGACCTGGCGGGTAATGTGTCTGATCCTTTGGGATTGATAGAATTTTTTATATGATGAATAAGATTTTCAGTAATCCTTATCGTATTTGACTTGGCTGCCTGGGTGGGAGCCCAAGGCTGGATCGTTTTAAGGGAATTGTGTTCTTGGCTTCTGGGTAACCAGTAAGGTGTTGTAGAAGCTGTTTTGTTGCTGGATTGGTTGATCTAATTATTAGAAATACTATAGTGCTGGAAAGAGCCACTGGCAGCTCCCGAGCCTCAGTCTGAATATCACTGCTTTAAAGGGAGACAACTATTAGGGAACATAGGCTCCAAATTTTAGCTTTTTAAAAACAAAAATATCAGTGGAAATATTTTCATTGTCTTTGAATACATTTGAATTAAAATATCTAGTTTTTAAACTTCTTAAAATATTTATAAGACAAACACTACACCCCTGTGCTAGCATGAAGAATCAGACTGACTGTAAACAAAATCAGAAAGTATCTACTCTAGTTTAATTTACTTTATGCATTTTATTCAGCTTGGCAAGTAGCATGGACCATGAAGGTGTGTGTTCCTTATAATTCTGTATTAATGAATGCAGTCAGTTTAGATCACTTCCATCTGAATATATTTATCTATTATTACATTTTCTAACATTACTATAACTGAAAGTTGTGGGGAACATAGTTGTTTTTCAGTTAACTCTGTATACAGAACAGCACTTTCTCTCTTTCAGACAGCAAAAGGGAAGAGACAAAATGGATTGTAAAACTACACAGATTGACAAGTGAAGTATAAAAGTATTTCTATCTATTTTGTAAGTGGACTAAATTATAACTTGCTATCCTTTAATGATTATGGTACTTTGATATCTTTAAAGAACAGATTTGCTTAGCTATCTAGCTACTGTTAGAGTAACCTCAGTGTCCACCTTAAGAAAGATGTATGCTCACTGGAAGGTGTTAAGAAGTCCCTTTGGTGTGAGAGCCACCATGTAAGAGCATGTATAGGTGGTGCAATAGAACTGAATCAACCACTAACCCTAGTAGTAAAGAATAATAATCTTGCTGCTCCAGCATTATCTGTCTCATTCAGAAAGTGCAACTGTGTCCATCCAAGCAAACTAAACAGAGGATCAGTTTTTCATCTTACAATATATTGAAACAAATTGTAGGTGAAAAAGTAGCAAAAAAATCAATTTTAACATGCTTTATAAGTTTATGTTCCTGGTTGGCTGCATTGCCAATCATGAATGAAAATTAGGATTTCATTTCAAGAGTTACGTCAATAATTATACATACATTTGCTTAACCCTTTTCCATTAAGAAATACATATTTTAAAATATATTTAAAAAATTTAAAATATATATGCCTTTATCCTTACACATTGCACTAATTTCATAAGCAATACTTTTTAAACCAGTAAATAAGCAGTTAAGAGACAGAAGAGAGAGCAGTTTTTGTAAAATACATTTATTTCATAACATTCTCTCTCTTTTTACATGTGTTACTAATTAAAGTGTTTTTAAGAATTTTTCAAAGTCCTTTACTGAGGCCTTGGCAACCTCTGTACAAAACACCTCATCGGGCATGGATACTAGCTTGTCCAGAGAGATGTAGCTGGGCTGTGCTGGGTCATACTGTGCTCTTCCCAAAAATGTAAGAAACATATGTCTTTCTTTGACTCGTAATAGCTTTGAATTGAAAACCTAGGAAACAAAAGAAAAGGCTGAGTTTTATAAGCTTCAGGCTCTATAAGTACATCTAAAACTAAAAGTTTTGCCACTAAAGTAAAAGTTCTGAATAAAAATGAAAATTTTGCACCTCCCCCCCTCCATTTTTCTGAACCATTCCTCATTAAGCATATGAACCAGATCCTATACTACACTTTTTTTTTTTTTTTTAAATAACACTGTTGGAATTAAACAAAGAATCAATAAGTGATGATAAATCTCTAGAAAGTAACTTCACACGGTGGATTCCATTTATTAGCAACTGCTTGGTTCCCAGCAAAAAGTTGTCATTATCTGGAAGTTGCCAATAAGCAGAAGGTAAGTTTGCAGAGCTGCAGCCAGGGAAGAAAGCATTGGGACGTGTCTTGCCTGTCTGCAGCTGGTGCATGCAGGATGCAGCCCAGAGAGCGCTTGGAGAGGTACCATGCCTCCCCATGGACCCCCAGTGCCTTCACTCCTCATGGAAAACCCCGGCATTTGGACTGCAGCCTTCCCTGCCCTACCCACAACCACCCTTCCCCGTCCGCAGTGCCAGGACTCCTGCAGGGCTTCCCCAGTGGGCAGGGATGCGAGCACCCCAGACGGCTAACTATGCGAGCATCCCAGACTGCTAACTCCTGTGAAGGCAGTGAGGCTGCCGCCAGGGAAGAAAGCTCTCCGATGTGCTAAGCCTGGGACTCCAGTGCCAGGTCAGGACGCACCCTGGAGAGTGCAGGAGAAAGGTACCGCACTGCCCTAAGATTTCCTTCCCTGGCTGCAGCCCTGCAAACCTGCCTGTGGATGGGGCCCTTACTCCAATCAATAAAAAAAAGTAAGCAGCATGCCTATTACCAATATCCAAATCCCATTAATATTAAAGGTAATGGGATGGAATCAGCTCCCATTAACCGAAAATTATTAACATCGGTTTGCTGTTAAGCAGCATCCCCTTTATATGCTAACCCATAAATCAATGGTACTCTCTAACCTGAAATACTGTGTTCAGTTCTAGTCAGTCACCTTATTTCAAAAAAGAATATAGCACAAATGGGGGTTCAGAGATAAGCAACAAGAATGATTGGAGGCAAACAGAAGCTTCCATATGAAAAGAGATTCAGACTAGGATTGTATTTTAGAAAACAGACAAATAAGAGGGGATGAGGACATGATACAGTACAAAATAATGAATGGTAGAGTGGTGGTATATTCACCGTTCATAATGCAGAACCAACAGAATATGTGATGAAACTGATAAAAGGAAGTTTATATCATACAGTACACAATTAGCTTGTGGAACTCATTTTCACAAAATAACACTGAGGCCAAGCGGTCGATAGGATTCAAATAGGGATTGGGCATTTATATGGATAAGGTATCCAGAGATATAGCAGTATGGATTAAAACAAACTCAAGAGTTTTGAGAGGAATATAATTTCTCATGCTTCAGAGCATCACTCAACTTCTTTAAGGGGAGTTAAGAAGAATCTTTACCTGGGGGCAGATTATCCAGAACTGCTGACTGTAGGGCTTCTTCCACTTTCCTCTGAAGAGGCTGGTATTGGTATGGTATTCTGACTCTGGCCACTCTTGGAGACAGGATACTGGACTAGACGGACCACTAGTCTGTTCTAGTATGGCAGTGCCTATGTTCCTGCCCCCAAAATCTTAACATGTAAATACGACATGGCAATAAGTGAGGATCAGAAACAGACAATAAGGGAATAAGATGGAAGAGTGTGACAATTAAGACTATTTTAATGGTTATGTTAATAAAATTGTCATCTTTTCTCCCTCACTTCTTGTAAACAAGATGGCAGAATAGAGGGCAGAATTTTTTTTAGGAGAAATTTGAATGAGGCAAGGGAGGTGGCTTGGTGAAAGATTTGGGGAGGTTGTTCTCAGCTTAAGGGGTAGCATGAAAGAAGGAAAGATGATGTGTCTCAGAGGAGAACACGATGCATCAAAGCTGATGATATTGGCAGAGTTAAGAGGGCAGAGAAGACACACAGAAACCAGGTCAGAGATGTATCTTCTTCTTTCATATGGCATTGCAATGCTTTTTTATTATTGGATAAGTGAGGACATCAGTCTTCTGTTTGCATAGTAGCTTGGTCAGGTAATCACATTTTGCCGAAGAGGCCCATACACTGCTGCTGGCAGAGGGGATCCACTGAACAAGGCCGCTGCGGGTGGCAAGAGGGACCCCCGGAGCTCGTGGCTGCTGCGGGCGGCAGGGGGGACTCCGGCAGCTCCCAACTGCAGCAGGGCGCACCCTGGAGCTCCCAGGACCCCCCACCCCCAGTTACCCATTTTGTCATGGGTATTTTTAGTAAAAGTCAAGGACAGGTCACAGGCTTCCATGAATTTTTCATTATTGTCTGTGACTTTTACTAAAAATATCCATGACAAAAACTTAGCCTTAGTTATAATCCTAAGTAGCAGAGAGGATGGTGGCATCTATTGTTGTGGAAAAGAGGTAGGTGAGAGGGCTTGGTAAGGAAGTTTGTGTGTTCGGTTTTGCATGAGGCTTGAAATGGTGATGATCCATTATCTAAAATGAGATGTTAGAGAGACAAAGATTAGACTCAGCTGCTGGAGACAGCTTATATTTGTGAATGTGGATAAAGGCAATAGTTAATAGTGAGTGCATGGGCCCCACCAAGGATAGAGCACAGGCAGAAAAGCTGATGGGTCAAAGAACTGAGCTTTCAGGGACCCACAACAGACAAAAAGCCTTCTAAATGTATACAGAAAGAATGGCTAAACATGTAGTTAGGAGGAGAACCAAGAGGGACGGAGTCATGAACCTAAGGGATGACGTGAATAGTACTAAAGGCAGGAAGATGAATATGGAGATAGACACCAAGGCCATTGGACTTAGTGTTAGAGCAGTGGTTCTCAAGCTTTTATACTGGCGACCCCTTCCACACAGCAAGCCTCTGAGTGTGACCCCCCCTTATAAATTAAAAACACTTTTTTACATTTAACACTATTATAAATGCTGGAGATGAAGCATGGTTTGGGAGTCGAGGCTGACAGCTCGTGACCCCCATGTAATAATCTCACGACCCCCTGAGGGGTCACGACCCCCAGTTTGAGAGAATGCTGAGAGGGAAGGGTGGAGATACAAGCAGTAATGGGAGATCACATGAGATTTTTTCATTTTTCCTTGGGGAAAAAACTATCAAGATCCTGGATGGAGAGAGAGAAGACTCTCAAGGTCAGCTCCCAGACTGCTGTGCTGGGCATCACAACATCACAAGATGGCCAGCCCTCTGTGGAGAAAGAGGTGATTAGGGACTATTTAGAAAAACTGGACGTGCACAAGTCCATGGGGCCGGATGAGTTGCATCCGAGAGTGCTAAAGGAACTGGCGGCTGTGATTGCAGAGCCATTGGCCATTATCTTTGAAAACTCGTGGCGAACGGAGGAAGTCCCGGATGACTGGAAAAAGGCTAATGTAGTGCCAATCTTTAAAAAAGGGAAGAAGGAGGATCCTGGGAACTACAGGCCAGTAAGCCTCACTTCAGTCCCCGGAAAAATCATGGAGCAGGTCCTCAAAGAATCAATCCTGAAGCACTTACATGAGAGGAAAGTGATCAGGAACGTCAACATGGATTCACCAAGGGAAGGTCATGCCTGACTAATCTAATCGCCTTCTATGATGAGATTACTGGTTCTGTGGATGAAGGGAAAGCAGTGGATGTATTGTATCTTGACTTTAGCAAAGCTTTTGACACGGTCTCCCACAGTATTCTTGTCAGCAAGTTAAGGAAGTATGGGCTGGATGAATGCACTATAAGGTGGGTAGAAAGTTGGCTAGATTGTCGGGCTCAACGGGTAGTTATCAATGGCTCCATGTCTAGTTGGCAGCCGGTGTCAAGTGGAGTGCCCCAGGGGTCGGTCCTGGAGCCGGTTTTGTTCAATATCTTCATAAATAACCTGGAGGATGGTGTGGATTGCACTCTCAGCAAATTTGCGGATGATACTAAACTGGGAGGAGTGGTAGATATGCTGGAGGGCAGGGATAGGATACAGAGGGACCTAGACAAATTGGAGGATTGGACCAAAAGAAATCTGATGAGGTTCAATAAGGATAAGTGCAGGGTCCTGCACTTAGGACGGAAGAACCCAATGCACAGCTACAGACTAGGGGCCGAATGGCTAGGCAGCAGTTCTGCGGAAAAGGACCTAGGGGTGACAGTGGACGAGAAGCTGGATATGAGCCAGCAGTGTGCCCTTGTTGCCAAGAAGGCCAATGGCATTTTGGGATGTATAAGTAGGGGCACAGCCAGCAGATCGAGGGACGTGATCGTCCCCCTCTATTCGACATTGGTGAGGCCTCATCTGGAGTACTGTGTCCAGTTTTGGGCCCCACACTACAAGAAGGATGTGGATAAATTGGAGAGAGTCCAGCGAAGGGCAACAAAAATGATTAGGGGTCTGGAACACATGAGTTATGAGGAGAGGCTGAGGGAGCTGGGATTGTTTAGTCTGCAGAAGAGAAGAATGAGGGGGGATTTGATAGCTGCTTTCAACTACCTGAAAGGGGGTTCCAGAGAGGATGGTTCTAGACTATTCTCAGTGGTGGAAGAGGACAGGACAAGGAGTAATGGTCTCAAGTTGCAGTGGGGGAGGTTTAGGTTGGATATTAGGAAAAACTTTTTCACTAGGAGGGCGGTGAAACACTGGAATGCGTTGCCTAGGGAGGTGGTGGAATCTCCTTCCTTAGAAGTTTTTAAGGTCAGGCTTGACAAAGCCCTGGCTGGGATGATTTAATTGGAGATGGGTCCTGCTTTTGAGCAGGGGGTTGGACTAGACCTCCTGAGGTCCCTTCCAACCCTGATATTCTAAGATTCTAAGAGTCCTCCCCAACAATCTGTTAGCTGACCTTTTTGTTTGGTCTTGACTTCTTAAGATTAGCCATCCCATGGCTTTTAACTTCAAGATTTAGAATGTTAGACTCAGTGGCATGGCTACAATCATTTCATTCCTTCTGAAACTGCCCCTTGCAGTTTTAAATTGCACACGGTTTTCTTGTAAAAAGTTGCCATGTTCCACTCAGAGGTGACTTCATTTCAGCAGTGGGTAAAGTAAACCCAAAATATACTGTTTATTTTTAGGATGATAGTAAATGTAAGGTCTAAAATCATTTAAACAAGGCAGTAGAAAAAAAGTTAATTATCAGGAACTCACCTATTTGTGCAATACACCTCAGTGAAGATTTTAAGAAGTGTAAGAACATAAGAAGGGCCATACTGGGTCAGACCAAAGGCCCATCCAGCCCAGTATCCTGTCTACCGACAGTGGCTAATGCCAGGTGCCCCAGAGGGAGCAAACCTAACAGGTAAAGATCAGTGATCTCTCTCCTGCCATCCATCTCCACCCACTGACAAACAGAGGCTAGGGACACCATTCCTTACCCATCCTGGCTAATAGCCATTAATGGACTTAGCCACCATTAATTTATCCTGTTCTCTTTTAAACCCTGTTATAGTCCTAGCCTTCACAACCTCCTCAGGCAAGGAGTTCCACAGGTTGACTGTGCGCTGTGTGAAGAAGAATTTCCTTTTATTTGTTTTAAACCTGCTGCCCATTAATTTCATTTGGTGGCCCCTAGTTCTTATATTATGGGAACAAGTAAATAACTTTTCCTTATTCACTTTCTCCACACCACTCATGATTTTCTATACCTCTATCATATCCACCCCTTAGTCTCCTCTTTTCCAAGCTGAAAAGTCCTAGCCTCTTTAATCTCTCCTCATATGGGACCCGTTCCAAACCCCTAATCATTTTAGTTGCCCTTTTCTGAACCTTTTCTAATGCCAGTATATCTTTTTTGAGATGAGGGGACCATATCTGTATGCAGTATTCAAGATGTGGGCGTACCATGGATTTATATAAGGGCAATAAGATATTCTCCATCTTATTCTCTATCCCTTTTTGAATGATTCCTAACATCCCGTTTGCTTTTTTGACTGCTGCTGCACACTGCGTAGACGTCTTCAGAGAACTATCCATGATGACTCCAAGATCTTTCTCCTGATTTGTTGTAGCTAAATTAGCCCCCATCTTATTGTATGTATAGTTGGGGTTATTTTTTCCAATGTGCATTACTTTATATTTATCCCCATTCAATTTCATTTGCCATTTTGTTGCCCGATCACTTAGTTTTGTGAGCTCTTTTTGAAGTTTTTCACAGTCTGCTTTAGTCTTAAGTATCTTGAGCAGTTTGTATCATCTGCAAACTTTGCCAACTCACTGTTTACTCCTTTCTCCAGATCATTTATGAATAAGTTGAATAGGATTGGTCCTAGGACTGACCGTTGGGGAACACCACTAGTTACGAATCTCCATTCTGAAAATTTACCATTTATTCCTACCCTTTGTTTCCTGTCTTTTAACCAGTTCTCAGTCCATGAAAGGATCTTCCCTCTTATCCTATGACAACTTAATTTACGTAAGAGCCTTTGGTGAGGGACCTTGTCAAAGGCTTTTTGGAAATCTAAGTATGCTCTGTCCACTGAATCCCCCTTGTCCACATGTTTCTTGACCGCTTCAAAGAACTCTTGATTAGTAAGACATGATTTCCCTTTACAGAAAACATGTTGACTTTTGCCTAACAATTTAAGTTCTTCTATGTGTCTGACAATTTTATTCTTTACTATTGTTTCAACTAATTTGCTCAGCACTGACATTAGACTTACTGGTCTGTAATTGCCAGGATCACCTCTAGAGCCTTAAATATTGGCGTTACATTAGCTATCTTCCAGTCATTGGGTTCATAGAATCATAGAATATTTGGGTTGGAAGGGACCTCAGGAGGTCATCTAGTCCAACCCCCTGCTCAAAGCAGGACCAATCCCCAATTTTTGCCCCAGATCCCTCAATGGCCCCCTCAAGGATTGAACTCACAACCCCGGGTTTAGCAGGCCAATGCTCAAACCACTGAGCTATCCCTCAGAAACAGATTTAAAGAACAGGTTACAAACCATACTTAATAGTTCCGCAATTTCACATTTGAGTTCTTTCAGAACTCTTGGGTGAATGCCATCTGGTCTCAGTGACTTATTACTGTTAAGTTTCTCAATTAATTCTAAACCCTCCCCTAGTGCAGCTTCAAACTGTGACAATTCCTCAGATTTGTCACCTACAAAAGGTTTGAGAATCTCCCTAACATCCTCAGTCAAAGAATTCATTTAGTTTCTCTGCAATCACTTTATCATCTTTAAGTGCTCCTTTTGTATCTTGATCGTCCAGGGGCCCCACAGGTTGTTTAACAGACTTCCTGCTTCTGATGTACTTAAACATTTTGTTATTACCTTTTGAGTTTTTGGCTAGCTGTTCTTCAAACTCCTTTTTGGCTTTTCTTATTACATTTTTACACTTAAGTTGGCAGTGTTTATGCTCCTTTCTATTTATCTCACTAGGGTTTGACTTCCACTTTTTAAAAGATGCCTTTTTATCTCTCACTGCTTCTTTTACATGGTTAAGCCATGGTGGCTCTTTTTTAGTTCTTTTACTGTGTTTTTTAATTTGGAGTTTTAAGTTGAGCCTCTAAAAAGTGTCCATGCAGCTTGCAGGGATTTCACTCTAGTCACTGTACCTTTTAATTTCTGTTTAACTAACCTCCTCATTTTTGCATAGTTCCCCTTTCTGAAATTAAATGCCAGAGTGTTGGGCTGTTGAGGTGTTCTTCCAACCACAGGAATGTTATATGTTATTATATTAGGGTCACTATTTCCAAGCGGTCCTGTTATAGTTACCTCTTTGACCAGATCTTGCGCTCCACTCAGGACTAAATCAAGAGTTGCCTCTCCCCTTGTGGGTTCCTGTATCAGCTGCTCCAAGAAGCAGTCATTTAAAGTATTGAGAAATTTTGTCTACATTTCGTCCTGAGGTGACATGTACCCAGTCAATATGGGATAATTGAAATCCCCCACTATTATTGAGTTCTTTATTTTGATAGCCTCTCTAACCTCCCTTAGCATTTCATCGTCACTATCACTGTCCTGGTCAGGTGGTCGATAATAGATCCCTACTGTTATATTCTTATTAGAGCATGGAATTACTATCCACAGAGTTTCTGTGGATCATGTGGATTCATTTAAGATTTTTATTTCATTTGATTCTACATTTTCTTTCACATATAGTGCCACTCCTCCCCCGGCACAACCTGTTCTGTCCTTCTGATATATTTTGTACCCCAGAATGATTGTGTCCCATTGATTGTCCTCACTCCACCAGGTTTGTGATGCCTATTATATCAATATCCTCCTTTAACACGAGGCACTCTAGTTCACCCTTCTTATTATTTAGACTTCTAGCATTTGTGTACAAGCACTTTAAAAACTTGTCACTGTGTATTTGTCTGCCCTTTTATGAAGTGTCAGATACTTTTTTATGTGAATGTACTAAGTACACTGATGTGTAAAGACATTTTATTGCTTGCCATATATATTCTAAAAGGCAATACACAAAATTACATTCAAGCTATTTAATGATATTAAACTTCTGCCAGCTAAAATACTTAACTTAGAAACAGCGTAAATCTGAAAGAAGTCATTGCGAGAACTGCATTTTTAGAACTAGTTAAATACCTGATGAAGAAAGTTTGGATTTTTTGGATTAGATTTTCCAATAATTTAGAATGAACTTTCTCCAGTGTCCTTCCTATTTCCACCCTCAACTGACATGAAAACCTTAGGTCCAGTGGTACTCAGCCCTCAGTGGTTCAGGAGTCAAATTAGCAATCAACATTACCCAAAAGAGCCACAGTAGTGTGAATTCATTGTTTCATTTACTATTTTTATAGGTATATATTATTCTCACAGCAAATTACCAAGTATTCTACAATTGGTTAATAATATAGTAAAAGCATCCTGATTGGTTAATAATTAAATCAGTGTTTTAGTATCATGTGCTGCAAAGAGCCGCAGGGGAGACATTAAAGAACCACTTTCAGCTCCCGAGCGTCAGTGTGAGTATCTGAGGTGCAGATGATGAAGGCTCCAACAACAGTGTTCGATGTAGCAGGCACTTATCTATATTGTAAATCAGCCAGTAGAGATCACCACTGCCATAACCATAGAAAACAAGATTATTATGTTCACTGGACCAAGGAAGAAAAAAAAGTGCTAAATGAGCTTCCAAATTTAAATCTTTAGCACAGCTACCTGTTGCTCCACTGAACCAGTCATGAGTGAATTACTGATAAAAATTGTTCTAATTTAAGCCAAGCCCCAAACTACTTTTTGCTGCCAGAGATCACTTGAAGAATCCATGTGGATTTTGGCGATTGTATAATTTTGCCCTCAGAGCTGGCCCAGTGAAGGAAATCAAACTCCTTGTTTTGACGGCAATTACACTTTAACCCACAATTCTTAAATCTCTTACTTGAGGGAAGTTAGTGAGGATGTGGTGGGGAATGCCCATTACATTGTGCAGGTAGTCAAAAGTCTCTGTAAGCTTCTTTTTGTTTGCAGTTAAAATCTTGGGGATTTTAGATACAATATGCTGAATTTCATTACGCCGAAAACCAAGTTCAACCTGGCACACCTGAAAAAAGAAATAATAAATCAGCTATGATAATTTGATTTTTAACAACACATCACTGAAACTGATTATTTTTTTTAAAATAAGTTATCCATACTACTAAGATATTCCAGTCACTGATCATCTAGCTGTGGGTCTCTAAACGATAGCTTCCACCATGTTCAGACTGTAAACTGCTTTGGGACAGAAACTGAGTTGCTTTATGTTATAGACCACCATGAACACTGATGGTGTTCAACAAACAAGGATATAAAACACACGTGATCTGGTAGGTTGCTGAATAAGAAAACTTTTGCACTTTCATACTACAGCACAATCAAACTGAGGATCTCAAAGCACTTTACAAACATAAATAAATTCAATCTTAACTCATGTCAGGTAGGAGAGTTATTATCCCCATTTCACAGATGAGGAAACTAAGCACAGAGATCAAAAGATTTGCCCAAGGTCACACAGTAAGTCTGTTGTAGAGCCAAGTGAACATCCCAAGTGATTTAACTGTATTCATACTTACATTCTCAGGGGTTTTTAAATTGTATTAACTATGTCTGCCATCCCAGGCCTATGACCCACAATTTCATTAACAGGCATCCTTTTATGCCTCCACTTCCATCCGGATTAGTGGTTGATGACACAAGGGACAACAAACCAAAGTAAACGCAAGAAACAATATTTCTTCTGATAGCCTGAGAAGGTTATTGGTTGGGTGATAAGAGGTGAATGAAAATAGAGGGAAATGGTCAGACTTACCTCCAGAAATACTATCCCTGCACAATATAACTACCTCCACTTGCCCAGAAGCAGAATTCACAAGGCCGGGTCTACCCTACAGACTTATATTGGTATAACTACATTGCTCAGATGAATGGATTTTTTTGTTTATCCACACTCTGAGCAACATAGTTATACCAACCTCTCTTTCATATTCTTGGATGGAGATTATCTGGGTCCCCTGATTTAGTCCCAATAAACTGTTTGTGTTTGACTTCCACCTCAGATGCAGTAATTTCTACATCCATATCCTCGCTTCCATTAGCCACCCTGCCACTGCCTTATTAAAAACAAAGGCAAAGTATTTGATTTGGTGTTGGGCCATGCCTAGATTATTTTTAATCCCCCCTCCCCACCCCAGTGTTTAGCAGTCCCACTTTTTTCCTTTTAATTTTATTTATATGGCTATAAAACCTTTTATTATTGGTTAGAATGCCCTTTGGAAGGTCCAACTCTGCTTGCTTTTTGGCAGTTCTCACTTTATCCCTACACTTTCTGGCCTCCAAGAGGTAGCTTTCCTTGCTGATCCATCCCATCTTCCATTCCTTGTAGGCTTTCTGCTTTCTTTTAATCACCTGTTTGAGATGCTTGCTCATGCAAGTTGGTCTGCAACCCTTCCCTATGAATATTTGCCCCTTGCTTGAGATGCAGGCTTCACATAGTTTCTGCAACTTTGACGTAAAGTAATTCCAAGCCTCCTCCACATTCAGATCCTGGAGACCTTTGGTGCAGTCCACTTCCCGAACTAATTCCCTTAATTTTTTAATGTTAGCCCTTCTGAAATAAAGGACCCTAGTTACAGCATATGTTTATTTATCCTTCTATTTAGTTTCAACTGAATTAACTCATGATCACTAGAACCAAGGTTGTCTCCTACAATCAGATCTTCTAGGAGGTCCTCACTACTCACCAATACCAAATCTAAAATGGCATCACCTCTTGGTGGTTCAGAGACTATTTTGTGAAGAAATCTGTCAGCTATCACATTCAGGAAAATCTGGATCCTACTATTGTTAGTAGGACTTGTCCTCCAATCTATATTTGGAAAGTTAAAGTCTCCCATAATCACACAATTCCCAGTATTATTTATTTCATTAAAAACATTCAAGAGGTCTCTACCATATCCAAATTGGATCCTGGGGCTCAGTAGCATACCCCAAGCACAAGCCCAGGGGATCCTCTAGTAGCTTTTTTCCCCCAAAAGTGATTTTTGCACTAACAGACTCTGGGTATGTCTATACTTGCAGAGTTTTTGCGCTGTAAGTTTCACCGGTGATAGGGAACCAGTGAAAGTAAAGTACTGGTTTGAGTACTCATTTAATTCTTCAGGTGTCAAAGTGTGTTTACATTAGCAGCACTTCCATCACGGAGGACAGCAGCGCTCTAGGGCAGCTATCCCACAGTGCAGCTCTCTCCAGTTTGACATGGGTCTTGTTGGAAAGGGGGGGGATAATCGCGGGGCATCCTGAGTCCCTGCACAGCCTCCTCTCCCCAAACACGGATAAGCTCCAGTAGCTCAGCATTGCTCCAAGCAGGGGATCACTTGCTCTGTGGAGCAGGCATTGTCACCTGGCCAGATAAGCGTGCACTTGCCAAGAAAACAGGGAAGGGGAGTTTCAAAGTTCCCAGGGCTTTACTGGGGGAGGGATGGATGTCTGTTTACCTGGCATCAGAGCAGCAGAGCTGCTGGCCAGAGTGGTCACCTAGGCACTGAGAGATCTCCTCCAGGGACGAACTTGTCTTCACTTGCACATCACCGCAGAAGCATCACTGGTAAGAACTGTACGCCTCTCGTGGAGGTGGTTTTCTTTTTTGTGGTGAAACTTTGGAGTTTCACTGCAAAAAGTCATTAGCAAGTGTCGATGCTCCCATGGGTTTTACGCAAAAAAGGGACTTTTCCCCCGCTTTAAATGGCAAGGGTAGACATGCCCTCTGTCTTATCCATTCCCTCACTTCTAATTTCTTTACAGTAAATCTCATTAACATACAATGCTACTCCACCATCTTTGTCTTTATTTCTCTTTCCTGAACAGCACATACCCTTCAATACCAGTACTCCAGTCATAACAGCTATTCCACATGTTTATGTTATCCCTATATATCTGGTTTCACTTCCTGCTCTAATAGTTCTAGTTCCTCCATTTTGTTACCCGGGCTCCTGGCATTGCTGTATAAACATCTTAATTGTTGCTGCTTAGCTTCACTGACATTCCTTATCCAATTGGGTACATTCAATCTATTGCCAGTATTGCCTACCTGACTGGTAGCTTCATTGGTATTGGCACTATTTTTCCTTTTAATGTCCATTCTCCTACCCACTGCTGTTCCTTTATCCATTGTTTTATCCTTTCTTGATTTTCCTCCTTTTCAATGTTAAAATCAGCTGTGGAAATTACATGAGCATACCCCAACCATCTCCCCTGAGTTTCTAGGTTTTAAATCAGTTTTGCCACATCCATCCCAGAAGTCTATTTCCCTCACTACTCAGGTGGAGTCCACCCCATGAGAACTGTCCTCTGTCCATGACTGCCTCCCAACGGTCAAACATCCCAAAGCCCTCCTTATATTACCACTGCCTGAGCCATCTGTTGATCATTATAATTTTGTCTCATCTTCATTCTCCTCTAGGGAGAAGTAGAATCTCACTGAAGATCACCTGAGCCTCTATTTCTTAAGCATCTTCCCCAGCCTGGCATAATCTCCCTTGATACGTTCCAGCAAGAATCTAGCAGTATCATTTGTTCCCACATGAAGGACAATCAGTGGATCCTTTCCTGCTCCCATTAGGATCCTCTTCAGCCTTAGATCCACATCCCATATCTTATCTCCCGGCAGACAGCACACCTTTCTGTTCTCTGGATCAGCTCTGGTGACAGGCCTGGGTCTTGGGACTCCCTAGTAAGAAAACGATCACGTAGACCTGCATTTTCCTGGTGATGGAGTAATTCACCAGCCTTCCTCCTGTTCTTTTTGTTGCAAGTCCTCGTCTTTTATTCTCCCTTACAATCTTCTGCAAGTCATCTTGTATCCTCCTGGGGCTCTGAACTCTGGGTATCTCCATTGACTCTTCCCCTCTTCTTATAGGACTAGCCACTCTTCTCTTCTTCCTTGACCTCCCACTTTCAGTTACTGCCTGCCATGCCCCTTTTTCATTCACCAACTCAGCAAATCTGTTTCTGAGCTCTGTTTCTTCTTCATTAGCTGGTCTTTTCCTTTACCTGGTTCTTGTAGGCAATGCTTCCTCTGGCCACTTTCCTCTGGCCACTTTTCTCACCCAGCAATCTCTCCTCACAGTTCTTCAGTCCAGCTTGCATCTGCAAGTCTTGACATTTCCCTTCAGCCTCCTCTTGCCTTCCCTCCATCATCTGCTCGAATCCCCTTCAAAACTCAACCATAGTTTCCACCTGCATCTCCAAACTTCAGATCTTCTCTACCATCAGCTCTATCAGGCGGCACTTCATACAAAGAAAGTTCTTTTCAGGTATCCGCTCCAGGATCGCGTTCATCCTGCAGCTTCCACATCCAGTCGTCTTCATTGCCTCTTCCATTGCTTCGGTGACTACCACTGCTGCCTCTGTATCTGTCACAGCCTTCCCACCTAATATCCTGCCAATCTGACTGGGGGGAAAGGGGGAGGGAGTGGTGTCACCTTCCTCTGCAGCATGGGAAACAGGTCACTTGCAAGTTTAAACTAGTGTAAATGGTGGCTTCTCTGTAACTTGAAGTCTTTAAATAATAATTTGAGAATTTAAGTAATTCAGCCAGAGGTTAGGGGTCTATTAGAGAAATGGGCGGGTGAGGTTCTGTGGCCTGCAACGTGCAGGTCAGACTAGATTATCATGATGGTCCCTTCTGACCTTAAAGTCTAGGATTACCCCCCACCCCCCGACCATGTGGGCATCACTATATCGACGGGAGAAGCTACTATCTCTCAGGGACGTGGATTAATTATAGAATCATAGAATATCAGGGTTGGAAGGGACCCCAGAAGGTCATCTAGTCCAACCCCCTGCTCAAAGCAGGACCAATTCCCAGTTAAATCATCCCAGCCAGGGCTTTGTCAAGCCTGACCTTAAAAACTTCTAAGGAAGGAGATTCTACCACCTCCCTAGGTAACGCATTCCAGTGTTTCACCACCCTCTTAGTGAAAAAGTTTTTCCTAATATCCAATCTAAACCTCCCCCACTGCAACTTGAGACCATTACTCCTCGTTCTGTCATCTGCTACAATTGAGAACAGTCTAGAGCCATCCTCTTTGGAACCCCCTTTCAGGTAGTTGAAAGCAGCTATCAAAACCCAGCTCATTCTTCTCTTCTGCAGGCTAAACAATCCCAGCTCCCTCAGCCTCTCCTCATAAGTCATGTGTTCCAGTCCCCTAATCATTTTTGTTGCCCTTCGCTGGACTCTCTCCAATTTATCCACATCCTTCTTGAAGTGTGGGGCCCAAAACTGGACACAGTACTCCAGATGAGGCCTCACCAATGTCGAATAGAGGGGAACGATCACGTCCCTCGATCTGCTCGCTATGCCCCTACTTATACATCCCAAAATGCCATTGGCCTTCTTGGCAACAAGGGCACACTGCTGACTCATATCCAGCTTCTCGTCCACTGTTACCCCTAGGTCCTTTTCCGCAGAACTGCTGCCTAGCCATTCGGTCCCTAGTCTGTAGCTGTGCATTGGGTTCTTCCGTCCTAAGTGCAGGACCCTGCACTTATCCTTATTGAACCTCATCAGATTTCTTTTGGCCCAATCCTCCAATTTGTCTAGGTCTTTCTGTATCCTATCCCTCCCCTCCAGCGTATCTACCACTCCTCCCAGTTTAGTATCATCCGCAAATTTGCTGAGAGTGCAATCCACACCATCCTCCAGATCATTTATGAAGATATTGAACAAAACCGGCCCCAGGACCGACCCTTGGGGTACTCCACTTGATACCGGCTGCCAACTAGATATGGAGCCATTGATAACTACCCGTTGAGCCCGACAATCTAGCCAGCTTTCTACCCACCTTGTAGTGCATTCATCCAGCCCATACTTCCTTAACTTGCTGACAAGAATACTGTGGGAGACCGTGTCAAAAGCTTTGCTAAAGTCAAGAAACAATACATCCACTGCTTTCCCTTCATCCACAGAACCAGTAATCTCATCATAAAAGGCGATTAGATTAGTCAGGCATGACCTTCCCTTGGTGAATCCATGCTGGCTGTTCCTGATCACTTTCCTCTCATGCAAGTGCTTCAGGATTGATTCTTTGAGGACCTGCTCCATGATTTTTCCAGGGACTGAAGTGAGGCTGACTGGCCTGTAGTTCCCAGGATCCTCCTTCTTCCCTTTTTTAAAGATTGGCACTACATTAGCCTTTTTCCAGTCATCTGGGACTTCCCCGGTTCGCCACGAGTTTTCAAAGATAATGGCCAATGGCTCTGCAATCACAGCCGCCAGTTCCTTCAGCACTCTCGGATGCAACTCGTCCGGCCCCATGGACTTGTGCACGTCCAGCTTTTCTAAATAGTCCCTAACCACCTCTATCTCCACAGAGGGCTGGCCATCTCTTCCCCATACCGATGGGAGAAACTTATACCGATGGGAGAAAATTATACCGATGGGAGAAACTTTCCAGTCAACACAGTAGCATCTTCACTAAAGTGCTATAGCGGTGCAGCTGAGCCGCTGTAACACTGTAGCCAAGCCCTTACTGAGGAAGCATCTTAAGAAGTGGGGTTGTTCTCATGAAAAACTGGATGCGCCTCATTCCTGTGAAGCCAGCCAGCTCTGCAACAGAACTTTTTTTGGGGGAAAAACTACTTTATTAAACAGGAAAGGTAACTACTACTAAGCACAGACCAAGAGTTGCTTTTATGATTTTGTCTTGTATTGTGGGTTATACGGGAGTGGAGATTTAAGGTAAAACTAGTAAATTGGGATACACTGCTTCTTTTGGGGCAGAGGACCTGGCATTTCTGTGATTAACTAGTGTCATGGGCTGGAAACCACAGGGGAACACTTTAGACCGTGGGACTCAGATGCACCAAACCTGCAAGGCAAAGACAAGGCTAGTATAGCCCAGAAGAGAGTACCTGAGTTGCTGAAAGACTGGTAGCGTTAAGGAGCTGATACCCAGCTAGTCACAGACAAGATACCCTCATTGCAGATGAAGGGTGACTCTCAGTCCCGGGTGCCCAGAGAACCATCAGTCCATCTAACAACTGTCTGATAGTAACAACTCTTGTCCACTACCAACCTAGGCTGGAATTGAACTACTGATCTAAAGTTTCATAGATTCTAAAGCCAGAAGAGACCTCTGTGATCCTCTAGTTTGAACTTCTGTATAACACAGAACTTCCCCAAAATAATTCCCAGAATCTCTCTCTTAGAAAAACATCCCATCTTGATTTAAAAATGGTCAGTGATGGAAAATCCACCACAACTCTTGCATGACGACAGGTTTCAGAGTAACAGCCGTGTTAGTCTGTATTCGCAAAAAGAAAAGGAGTACTTGTGGCACCTTAGAGACTAACCAATTTATTTGAGCATGAGCTTTCGTGAGCTACAGCAAGTGAGCTGTAGCTCACGAAAGCTCATGCTCAAATAAATTGGTTAGTCTCTAAGGTGCTACAAGTACTCCTTTTCTTTTTTGCACAACTCTTGCTAAATTGTTCCAATGGTTAATTACTATCACCATTAAAAAGGTATACCTTATATCCAGTCTGAATTTGTCTAGCTTCAGCTTCCAGCCACTGGATTGTGTTCTACCTGTGACGTTGCACCCCGTAAGACTTTATGGAAATATGCTTATGAACGTATATATGACATAATTGGAATATGTTTTATGCTACATATGCCATGTAACATGTATGTAAAGGATATGATCTACTGAATATATTCATCCTACTTGTATGCATGTGTCATTGTTGTATTCGAAGTTATGAATATTGGCTGTGTACTTGTTTGATTTTAAATAGCCTTAGTAAGGCATTTGGTCAGCTTCTTTAGAAAGGAATTTGCAAGTTAAGTGCCCAATCAAGAAGCACTTAACAGACAATGGATCTTGGAAGGCTCCAATTCACATCAGAAGGGATTCACATGAGGATGTTCAAAGTAGCATGTGAACCATGGCTGCTATCTGTAAATTCTGAGTCATACGTGGACATGTGACTTGCCCATGTGACTCCAAAACTCCATCTTGTAGCTGGAATTCTACGGGAGGGGGAGAGGCGTCTCCACCCACAAGAGAAAGTCTATTTAAGCCCATGGGAGACCCCTCCACTTGGTTTTCAGCTGGCTCAAGAGATCGCCTCTCCATCCCCAGGGATACCTGAAAGAAACTGGAACAAAGGACAGTAACTACAGAGGGTGTGAGTGATTGCTGGACCCAGAGTAGAAGGAGATTAGTCTGTAAAAGGAAGCTTACTGGAACTCCACTGAGGGTGAGGTTTTATCTGTATTCAGTTTTCTTACTGTATTAGATATAGACTTACGTGTTCTGTTTTATTTTGCTTGGTAACTCACTTTGTTCTGTCCGTTATGACTTGGAACCACTTAAATCCTACTTTCTGTATTTAATGGAATCACTTTTTTCTTACAAATTATTATTATGCATTAATACCGGGGGTGGGGGGTGTGTGTGAAGGGGAACAGCTGTGTGTATCTTTCTGTCAGTGTTACAGAGGGTGAACAATTTATGAGTTTACCCTGTATAAGCTTTATACAGAGTAAAATGGATTTATTTGGGGTTTGGACCCCATTGGGAGTTGGGCATCTGAGTGTTAAAGACAGGAACGCTTCTTAAGATGCTTTCAGTTTAAGCCTACAGCTGTTAGGGGGACGTGGTTCAGACCTGGTCTGGGATTGCAGCAGGCTAGCGGGTCTGGCTCAAACCAGGCAGGGCACAGAAGTCCCAAGCTGCCAGGGCAAGAAAGCAAGGACAGAAGTAGTCTTGGCACATCAGTTGGCAGCCCCCAGGGGCTTTCTGTGATCCAACCCATCACAATACCTCTCTCTGTTAGACTGAAGAGCCCATTATTAAATATTTGCTCCACATTTAGGTACTTATAGACTGTAATCAAGTCTGCAAGATTAAAGACTATCTCACTTGCAGTCCCTGAATTATCTAGCCTTCAGGGGACTTATTTCCACAGTATTACTAGATTTAATTAGTGACTAATGAGAACTGTTTCTTCCCATCCACAAAGGTAAGGACAGCAACACTGTGTACTTCATTAGACAGACAAACTTGGGCTTTTCAAAAACATTCATTGCGACACTTTACTTGCACAGATAGGGGATTCAAAGTTCATTAAAAAGAAAGTGCTATTAATTGAAACAATCTGCTCCTTTCCAAACCTCCTCCCTCACCACACCCTTCCAGATTGACACTCCTGACCACTGGAAATCTGCCAGAGCAGCTATTCCATCTGAAAACAATAGATTTTTATTCATTTATGGATTATATGGTAATAGGATTTCTCAAATTGAGTTACGACACATCATGCTGTTGGCCTAGCTGGTGTGACAGCACAATAATTAAAGCAATACACAATTTACATTTTCAAAGGGGAAAGAAGTCCTTATGGAATTGCAAGTTATTTATCCAACAATTGTTAATAATGACCATCTGCTATCAGACAATAGGTGTCAAATCCACTTTTTGGCAGCTCAACTTCCTACCAAGAGAAGATAATCAGCTGCATATTTCTTGCTCCTAAATCCTCAGGGATAATTACTATATTTTTTGCCAGCTTGGGTTAAGAAAAGATAGCAGCCCAATCTTTCACTGTTTACTCAGAAAACGATACCCGCTGATGTCAACAGGACTTTTAACTGAGTAAATTACGCCCAAAAAATCCTCTAAATCCAAAATTAAAAAAAAAAAAAAACAAAGTGCTCTGGAGCATGTGTGCTCTGAAACCTGAATGTTAAACACCAAAACAGGTTTACCAGAAAGATCCTTAAAGTTGTTTTATATGTACATATAAATACATTACCTCCTGCGTGGAATTTACGTCTAAGGAATTTTAAATCTGTATTTTTAATTAGCATAGTTATACAGTATATTGACTTCTTAGATGGTTTTTAAGCTTACCTGCCAATTTTCTTTTATAGGCTCAAGACTGCCAGTCAGTAGCCTTGGAAGACGAACTACTAAATCCCGGGTCTGTAATTTAAAAATGGGAAAGATTACGGTTATTGAAACCACAACTGTTAGAAATCCATCCATGTAAATCAGATACATATTTTACATTCACAAATGTTTTGTTGGACTTTTACACACATGCTCCTGAATTTCAGTTCTAGTCTGAGGAAACTAATTCTTTCATTTGAAAATTCATTATGATATCTCCAGCACCAGGATTAGAGAGTCTGAAGAGAAAGGAAAAAATAAGAGGAAAAGGTACCAATAAATAGCTGGAGTCAAATTTCACCATTCTGAAAAAGATGGGATTGAAAGGTATGGCAAAACAGCAGGAAGATGGGATTAAAATAGGCCTACAGACAAAGGCATTTTGAACTCCATAACCTTTGACAGTTCTTAAGAGTTGTTCTTTTGTTAAGATAGCCAATCAGTTTTGAGACATTAAGGTGCTGGTAGCTGTATGGACTTTATCTCCTGGTACACTTTTTATTTCTCCACCATGGTCTCCTAAAGACTTTTAGCAGCATATCCTCTTTCTATGCTATCATCATGAGACTGAAATAAGAATTTAACCACCAATCAGAGACACGTGTGACACATATCATCATGGTTTTGTACTATTTGGATTTTCTTCCCCTTCCCACCACTCTCAAGGCTCTATTCCAGTTATCTTTCTAGCCAAAGAGCAGAGGACACCCTTTGGAGGCTGATAATTAAGGAGTAGCTGTTGAATGAAGTAATTAACTCAACTCCTACACGCTTCAGAAGACTGAATGGACTGCTAATGCCTTAAAGACCATAAAACAAGGAACCATGCATCTAATCTGATCTCCTGTGCAACCATGCAGAGTACATCCAATAGGTTTCTGGGCTAAGTACAGTGTTACGAGTTTATGCTAGTATGGTATTTGTATACTATATGATGTACTTAAGGCCCTCATTATATTGCAGCGTTTAGAAAATGATGAAGTCAGTTGTCTTTCTTGTTTTATTTATTATTTTAGCAGTAGGATCGATCCTCAGATGCTGCTTCAGATGATAAAGCTGTATACACATTTGACACTGTTCACAGATGTACTGCCTTCAGAGGCAGTATTTTGGGATCCTTAGTGTTAAAGATTCATGCTACCTACCTGGGGGAGTTAAAGTCATGTCTTTCGGCAACAGCATGAGAGTGACAATCAATAACCTTGCACGTACACTAAGTATTTTGAGGTTATCTGTGGGCACCTATATTTCAAGTCTAGCCTACTTTCACTAACAAAATACATAAGTATGTAGGGGTATATTATTTACCTTTTGCACACTTAGTCCAAGTTCTTTTTGGAAGAAACCCAATCTATTATCCAATCTTTCCACTGAAAAAGACAGTAAAAACGGAGCTCTCGAGACCATCCGTGCAACTGCTTCCTTACCAAATTTTTTTGATTTTAGGTAAGCCACTCTAGGAAAGAGCAAGAAAATCAGTGATGAACATTTATTGCCTCAATTTATTCATCTAGTTGCTCAAATTCCTCAGTGATATCTTACATGTTTTACAGATGTTTTAATATTAACATACAACCCTGCCAGAAATAATTAGGGGGGGGAAGTCTGCAGTTATCATAAAAACAAAATACCATCCCTTCCAATTAACTACAAGGAAAATATGAGAGAGCAAAATGTCAATACTGAAGACAGATTTTAATTCTTTCCAGCTGTACTTAAAATACAGGTTAAAATAGTTATCTGCTTAAGTAGCAGCCTGTCTCACCGATTAAGAACGCACTAATGCACATCAGGGCACGTGGCTATGACAATATACATTGCCTTCTGCTTATTTTAATGAAATACATTTTCATTGCTTTGGTCAAACTTAAGAAGGACCTCAATACCATTCTCCCTTGCACAGTCCTATTATGCCAATATCACAGAAGTAGAAATACCATACATTGCCATGTATGGTGAAACCTTCCACAAAAAAGTAAATTAAACACTTTTAGATCTGTAGAAGTTATTTTTGTTATAACAGATCTCTACTTTTGGTTACTGCCCCCAAGATTTAGTTATAAAACATCTGGTTGCCAGGACACAGAAAGAGTTTATCTACAGCCTTCAAAGTGGAGCAATGGGGGCAAAAAACCTAACTGGCTTCAAGACTGAGCTTGATATATTTATGGGGGGGATGGTATGATGAGACTGCCTACAATGGCATGTAGCTGACCTGCAACTGCTAGTAGCAAATATCTCCATCATCTGGTGATGGGACACTAGATGGGGAGGGCTCTGCGTTACTACAGATAATTCTTTGCCAGCTGTCTTGCTGGGGGGTCTTGCCCATATGCTCAAAAAGGTCGAACTGATCGCCATATTTGGGGTAGGGAAGGAATTTTCCCTATGACCAGATTGGCAAAGACCCTGGGGCGGAGGGGGGCTTTCACCTTCTTTTGCAGCATTGCCAATCTGACTTGAGTGGTGTCACCTTCTTCTGAAGCATGGGACACGGGTCACTTGCAGGTTTAAACTAGTTTAAATGGTGGAGTCTCTGTAACTTGAAGTTTTTAAATCATTATTTGAAAACTTCAGTAACTCAGCCAGAGGTTAGGGGGTCTATTATAGGAGTGAGTAGTTGAGGTTCTGTGGCCTGCAATGTGCAGGAGGTCAGACTAGATCATCATCATGATGGTCCCTTTTGACCTTAAAGTCTATGAGTAACATTTTTATGTTTAAAGAGAGGTTTATTTCCTCTCCGTCTCCTGAAATTAGTGAAAATGGAGTTCTATTTAAAATACTATATGTAGGGCCCTACAAAATTCACAGTCCATTTCGGTCAATTTTAAAATTAGTCAATTTCACAGTTTTAGATGTTTACATCTGAAATTTCAGGGTGGTGTAACCCTGGGGGTCCCAAAGTAACAAAGTGAAATTGACCTAATTCTTGTCAGTTTGTTTCCAATATGGTTCTAAAAAGAAACAATTTTCCTCTCACAATTTTGCTCTGCTGCACTTCTTCCACTCAAATTTGCTAGATACTGTACTCTGTTCCTTGCAATGAAACCTAGAATTCTGCAGAAACTGATGGCAGAGGTCTTCATTTTCAGAGGAAGTCTCCTATTTACCCCTAATGAATGGATTGTTCAAGACCCGTTTAAATATATCATATACTCAGAATTGCCAATCTCAAACATTCTAAAAAAACACACACAATGGTTTTTAAAATTTCACAATGTAAGTCAAAGGATTGTGGAGTACTTTTTCTTTGCTGTCTCTTTGGTGAGTCATTAGGTTTTATGGTTTCAAGCTTTACTACAAAACCATGAGAGCCAGAAACTTACTTTAAACAAAAAAAAAAAAAAATTAAAAAAGTACAGCTGACATTTTCATGTGGTCACCTGACACTAAGAGCTGGGACTTTTAAGGCAGACACGAACAAGACTCACGATAATCCTGTGAGAATTGGCAACCCTGTCAGATCAGCAGTTGTATAAAGCATGTTAAAGATTCAAGTCACCATTAACAGTATTTCAAAATAAACATATATGGTGCAGCTGCACTACAGACACTGATTTGCAACTGTCAGAATTGTTATGAATTATGGAATGTTTTTACTTTTACAGTGTTTATCTCAAGTCATAAATGCCAAATCCATTGAAACTTTTGTTTTGTTTCCTGGCAACATGGGATCCATAACAATAAAACATTCCAGAGAGTGATGTAACAATATTGTGTCCATCTGTATTTAGGGCCTGGTCTACACTACGAGTTTATGTCGAATTTAGCAGCGTTAAATCAAATTAACCCTGCACCCGTCCACACAACGAAACCATTTTTGTCGACATAAAGGGATTAGTGCAGAAATCGACATCGCTGTTTCAAATTAAGGTTAGTGTGGACGCAATTCGACGGTATTGGCCTCCAGGAACTATCCCACAGTGTACCATTGTGACCACTCTGGACAGCACTCTGAACTCGGATGCACTGGCCAGGTATACAGGAAAAGCCCCGGGAACTTTTGAATCTCATTTCCTGTTTGGCCAGGCGAGCTCATCAGCACAGGTAACCTTGCAATCCCAGAATCGAAAAAGAGCTCCAGCATGGACCAAACGGGAGGTACTGGATCTGATCACTGTATGGGGAGATGAATCTGTGCTATCAGAACTACATTCCAAAAGACGAAATGCCAAAACATTTAAAAAAAAATCCCCAAAGCCACCATGGACAGAGGCTACAGCAGGGACGCAACAGTGCCGCGTGAAACTTAAGGAGCTCAGACAAGCGTACCAGAAAACCAAAGAATCAAATGGATGCTCTGGGACAGAGCCCCAGACATGCTGCTTCTACACTGAGCTGCATGCAATTCTAAGGGGGGCCGCCCCTACTACCCCACCCCTGTCCGTGGACTCCGATGATGGGGTACTCTCCACCATGCCTGAGGATTTTGCAGACGGGGAAGATGAGGAGGAGGAGGACGAGCTTGAGGAGAGCACACAGCACCCCGTTCTCCCCGACAGCCAGGATCTTTTTATCACCCTGACTGAAATACCCTCCCAACCCAACCAAGCCAGAGAAGGGACCTCTGGTGAGTGTACCTTTTTAAATATAATACATGTTTTAAAAGCAAGTGGTTTTTAATGATTAATTTGCCCTGAGGACTTGGGATGCATTTGTGGCCAGTACAGCTACTGGAAAAGTCTGTGAACGTGTCTGGGGATGGAGTGGAAGTCCTCCAGGGACATCTCCATGAAGCTCTCCTGGAGGTACTCTAAAAGCCTTTGCAGAAGGTTTCTGGGGAGAGCAACCTTATTCCATCCTCCATGGTAGGACACTTTACCGCGCCATGCTAGTAGCAAGTAGTCTGGTATCATTGCATGACAAAGCCTGGCAGCGTATGGTGTTTGCTGGCATTCAAGCAACATCCGTTCTTTATCTCTCTATGTTATCCTCAGGAGAGTGATATCGTTCATGGTAACCTGGTTGCAAGGGGAATTTAATTAATTCAGGGGACATTCAGAGGTGTCCATTCCTACTGGGCTGTTTGCCTGTGCCTAAAAAGAAATCCCCCCCACAGTTAGCCAAGGGGTGTGGGGGGCACTGGCACTGAGCTGTTCGCGTTTGGCTAGCAGGATCTTTCCTGATACCAGCCACACGGTGGGGGGGAGGGGTAAAGCGATCATCCCAGAGAATTGGATGGCGGGGGGGATTAGTTTGGTTTCTGCTGCTGCACGTTAACACGAAAACTATAGCACTAAATGGCCAACTCAATGGGCTTTGCTTGGTATGGGAAAGGAGGGGCACTGCTGTTATGAAGGTTGCAGAAGTCAAAAGACTAAGGCTTACCATAGCCGCCTACAAGCCGAATTCTCTTGCCCGGTACTGCGTGTATGACCTCTAACACCAAAGCCGCAGGCACTCAATATAAGATGCAAAATGCAACCTTGTACCGAAATCACACGTGTTATGTAATGTGAATAGTGTTGTTCACTGTGAAAGAGTATAGCCATTGTTCTGTAAAATGTATCTTTTTAAATACTTCACTCCCTTTTTTTCCTCCCACAGCTGCAAATGTTTCAAGCCTCCCTCCTCCATCCCAAAGGCTATCTCAGATAAGGCGGCAAAAAAAAACGCACGTGCGATGAAATGTTCTCTGAGCTCATGCAGTCGTCCGGCACTGACAGAGCTCAGCAGAATGTGTGGAGGGACACAGTAACACAATACAGGAAAACGGCCAATGAACGTGAGGACAGGAGGGATGATTGAGATGAGAGGTGGCGGCAGAAAGATCAGAGGAGGCAGGATGCAACACTGGGGCTACTGTGGTATCAAACAGACATGCTCCGGAGTCTGGTGGAGGTTCAGGAACGGCAACAGGATCACAGACTGCCACTGCAGCCCCTGTTTAACCGTCCTCCCTCCTCCCCAGGTTCCAGAGCCTCCTCACCCAGATGCCCAAGAACATGGGGGGTTGGGGGGGGGGGGGAGGGGGAGGCTCTGGGCACCCCACCACTCCACCCCAGTAGACATTCCAAGCAACAGAAGTTTTGAAGTGGCCTTCTCCTCCCCTCCTCCCACACCCCACCCAGGCTACCTTGTGAGTTATCTCCCTATTTTTATAATCAATTAATAAAGAATACATGGTTTTTAAACTATAGTGATTTTATTTCCTTTGCAAGCAAGCTGTGATCGAAGGGGGGAGGGCGGGTGGCTTACAGGGAATTTAGAGGCAACCAAGGGAGAGGGTTTTCATCAAGGAGAAAAACAACTTTTACACTGTAGGCTGGCCAGTCATGAAACTGGTTTTCAAAGCTTCTCTGATGTGCAGCGCTTCCTGCTGTGCTCTTCTAATCACCCCGGTGTCTGGCTGCGCGTATTCAGTGGCCAGGGGATTTGCCTCAACCTCCCACCCCACCATAAATGTCTCCCCCTTACTCTCACACAGATTGTGGAGCACACAGCAAGCAGCAATAACAATGGGAATACTGGTTTTGCTGAGGTCTGAGCAAGTCAGTACACTGCGCCAGCGACCCTTTAAACATCCAAATGCACACTCTACCACCATTCTGCACTTGCTCGGCCTATAGTTGAACAGCTCCTGACTACTGTCCAGGGTGCCTGTGTACGGCTTCATGAGCCAGGGCATTAAGGGGTAGGCTGGGTCCCCAAGGATAACTATAGGCATTTCAACATCCCCAACAGTTATTTTTCTGGTCTGGGAAGTAAATCCCTTCCTGCAGCCATCTAAACAGACCAGAGTTCCTGAAGACGCAAGCGTCATGAACCTTTCCCGGCCATCCCACGTTGATGTTGGTGAAGCGTCCCTTGTGATCCACCAGTGCTTGCAGCACCATTGAAAAGTACCCCTTGCGGTTTATGTACTGGCTGCCCTGGTGGTCCGAGGCCAAGATAGGGATACGGGTTCCGTCTGTAACCCCACCACAGTTAGGGAATCCCATTGCAGCAAAGCCATGTAGTATGACCTGCACATTTCCCTGACTCACTAGCTTTGACAGCAGCAGCTCAATAACTGCGTTGGCTACTTGCATCACAGCAACCCCCACAGTAGATTTACCCACTCCAAATTGATTACCAACTGACCGGTAGCTGTCTGGCGTTGCAAGCTTCCACAGGACTATTGCCACTCGCTTCTCAACTGTGCGGGCTGCTCTCATCTTGGTATTCATGCGCTTCAGGGCAGGGGAAAGCAAGTCACAAAGTTCCATGAAAGTGCCCTTACACATGCAAAAGTTTTGGAGCCACTGAGAATCGTCCCAGACCTGCAACACTATGCCGTCCCACTAGTCTGTGCTTGTTTCCCAGGCCCAGAATCGGCGTTCCACTGCATGAACCTGCCCCATTAGCACCATGATCCCTGCATTGCCAGGGCCCGTCCTTTGAGAGAAGTCTGTGTCCATGTCCTCATCACTCATCACCGCGCTGACTGCACCTACTCGCCCGGTTTTGCTTTGGCAGGTTCTGGTGCTGCATATACTGCTGGATAATGCACGTGGTGTTAAATGTGCTCCTAATGGCCAAAGTGATCTGAGCGGGCTCCATGCTTGCCATGGTATGGCATCTGCACAGAAAAAAGACGCGGAACGATTGTCTGCCGTTGCTCTGACGGAGTGAGGGGTGACTGACTACATGGCTTACAGCATCCCGTTCTCCCCGACAGCCAGGATCTTTTTATCACCCTGACTAAAATACCCTCCCAACCCAACCAAGCCAGAGAAGGGACCTCTGGTTAACAAAGGGGGTGGCTTTACATCAAGGAGAAACAAAAACAACTGTCACACAGAATGGCCCCCTCAAGGATTGAACTCAAAACCCTGGGTTTAGCAGGCCAATACTCAACCCACTAAGCTCTCTCTTCCTCTGGTATTTCAGGCAGGACTGAATCTCCATTATAGTTTTCAAGGTGCCCGACAGACCTCACCAAAACGATTGTTGGCCGTTGATTTCACGGAGGGAAGGAGGGAGGGAGGAGCAAATGAATACAAAACAAATCTGGTCTATTTCTTGTTTTGATCCACTCCATCTATCTTTTACATCTTTGGCTGGCAGCAGACGGTGCAGTAGGACGCCAAGCCATCCACATCTCCTGGCTGCTCGGCAGAAGATGGTGCAACAGGACTGCTAGCCATCCTTATTTCCTGCCTGCCTGGCAGAAGATGGTGCAATAGGACTGCCTGCAGGACTAAAGAGAATGACATTGTTGAGTCACTCCTAATTTATTCCCTGCGCCCATGTCTGCCCATGCGCTCCTGACCGACCTTACCGAGGCAGCCAGGAGCATCTCGGACACAATGAGGATGGTTTTCAGGCCTATTGCACCGTCTGCTGCCACAAGGCAATGGGTTGCTACTGCTGTGTAGCAATGCAGTACCACATCTGCCAGCACCCAGGAGACATACGGTGACAGTGAGCTGAGCGGGCTCCATGCTTGCCGTGGTATGGCATCTGCACAGGTAACTCAGGAAAAAAGGCACGAAACGATTGTCTGCCATTGCTTTCACAGAGGGAGGGAGGGCCTGATGACATGTACCCAGAACCACCCGCAACAATGTTTTTTGCCCCATCAGGCATTGGGATCTCAACCCAGAATTCCAATGGGCAACGGAGACTGCGGGAACTGTGGGATAGCTACCCACAGTGCAGCGCTCCAGAAGTCGACGCTAGCCTCGGTACTGTGGAAGCACTCTGCCGAGTTAATGCACTTAATGGAATTAGAGCATTTTGCGTGGGGACACACACAATCGACTATATAAAAAAGATTTCTAAAAAACAACTTCTATAAATTTGACCTAATTTCGTAGTGTAGACATACCCTGAGAAACGAGCACTGTCTGGTTGGATCACGTCATAATGAAGGCATGGGATAATAAGCAGTGGCTGCAGAACTTTCAAATGCACAAGGCCACATTCCTGGATCTGTGTGCAGACCTTGCCCCAGCCTTCCAGCACAGGGAGACCAAAATGGGAGGTGCATTGACAGTGGAGAAATGAGTGGCGATTGCACTGTGGAAACTTGCAACACCAGATTGCTACCAATCAGTTGGTAATCAATTTGGAGTTGAGAAATCTACCACCGGGGCCATTGTCATGCAAAACATGCAAGGCTATTAATAGAGCCCTGCATGGATACAAAAATGTGTATCCGCATCTGATCTGCGATCTGCAAAAATTGTCCATGGATATCTGCATCCGCAGATTTGCAGAGCTCTACTTACCAAGGCTGGGCTGAGGCTCCAAGGCACCCCCACGCTGGAGCCCAGTCAACAGAGGGTGTGGGAGTCACAGACCCTCCACCTGCCCTCAGCCGGGCAGGTACACAACCCGGGGCTGCTCTAAGCCCTCCCACCAACTACGGGAAGGTGGAGGGTCCACCGCAGCTCCACACAGCAGCCAGCCCAGCTCTTACTGTGGCCAGGCTGCAGCTCCAAGCCACCCCCACCCCGGACGGAGCCAGGTCAGGGAGAGTTGCACTGCGGGGAGCCTGGGTGTCTCCACCTGCCCTGCGCAGGGCACCTGGGGGCAGAGACACGGGCTGGGTGCTGCCTGAGCCCTCCACCCAGGGAGGGTGGAGGGATCCAGGCTCCCCAGAGCTGCCAGCACAGCTTTCCCCAACGCAGCTCTGGCCAGAGGCAGCTCGTAAACTGCAATTCTGCTAGGTTTAGCTATATCAGTCTAGAGAATTGAGTAAGCCATCTTAGCAGGTGGGCATGACATACAAATCAGGCTCCTGGAAAAGGTGCGAGTAGCCCAAACCTTTCCAGCTTCTTCATTTGTTTTCTGTCCTCTGCTAGTCAGACTCGCTCCCACAAAATAGCCAGGTAGAAGAATTTTGTTGCGACTTAACTGCAGTTTTTCATTCTCAGAATAATTTCAAGCACATGTTCCCACCTACCTAACTGTCACAGTTGTAGGGTTTCCAGTCTAATAAATTTTTTTGAATTTTTATTCTACCTTTCTGAGCAGTGGCAGACTTAGATCTATGTGACTGTAGGATTCCAACTCCCAGGGGCCCGCACACCTAGCCCCCACAATCCTGATTCCCCTCCTTAGTCTGGACTGACTCTGGCAACAGCAGCCTGCTGCACAAACCCAGTTATAACTGCATCTCTCTGCAACCTGTTTAGAAAGCTGCACTTCCTCGCTGCCTTATTTCCTGGTTCATGTAGAGGTGGCAGACATCAGCAGGTGTCGATCCCACAACCAGGTGGGGCGGCAGAAGGAAATCTGAGACGGGAATGGTGGGGGCACAGAAAGGCATGGGACAACCAACAGGTTTGTAGCACAGGTGAAAAGAAATTGGGTAGCTATAGATGAGGAGGGAGGCATTTTCTGTGGATTTTCACTTAGAGCCCTGCACACCAAGCACCAGCCCCACATTTGTGATTTTAAAGCATTTACGTGTTAGACCTAACAAAATCCCACTGTAATATTTACCTATTTTATAGATGGGTAAATCGAGGTAGAAGGGATTGGATTTATGTGATTATAGTTAGCAGGCATAGGATTTGGGTCATGGGCATGTTTCATGAAAGACCTACCTTGTCTCTAGCGCCTCCATGTCTACAGCAAGAATGTATGGATTTTGGGTCAGGAATGGACCCAGCTGATTATCTTCTACACCCACATCCTTAAGAAACAAAAGTCTTTTTCTTATATCTTTTTCAAAATCCAGCCTCAGTAGGAGTTGGCCTGCATTTGGACGTTTTTCCACTTTGGACAAATCAACTCCTACAGCAAATAAATCAGACACTACTTTAGTTGAATACTTAGTTAAATGAATTATGAGGAAGAGATTCATAAGAAACATAAGTACATGCTGCACTGCATGTATGAAGTCTTGAATACAACTTTTGTGCATATAGCCAAAATATTTTGATTGCTCAAGATATTGTGGTCACAATAGCTTGTATATTCAGGAGAGAACTGAGATAAAACAAGCTCTAAATTCTTTCTAACCCAAATTTTAGTAGCAAAATTCAGACAGTTTAGTTTATTCTTTGAAGAAAAAGGACAGCAGGTTTCAGTATTGCAATCAGAGAAGTTAAGCACAGTAAGATGCATTTCACACCATATTCTGAACTGTGCAATGTGCAGGGATCTCATTTTGTTTGCTCAGAGGTACGTGGAGGTGGTTACCTCCCAACTCTTTCTTATATGGGCACAGTAATGAGAGGAAAATTTTATTGCAAAGTGTCTTTGGTTACCAACACAAATAGCTCTCATTATTAGACTAAAAAAAAAAGGGGTACTTGTGGCACCTTAGAGACTAACCAATTTATTTGAGCATGAGCTTTCGTGAGCTCATCAGATGAATTCATCTGATGAAGTGAGCTGTAGCTCACGAAAGCTCATGCTCAAATAAATTGGTTAGTCTCTAAGGTGCCCAAGTACCCTCCTTTCTTTTCGGGATACAGACTAACACGGCTGTTCCTCTGAAACCTGTCATTATTAGACTGTTAGCCAAAGGCAATTCTAATACAAAACCCACTTGCCCCAACAATCCAGCAATTTACTTTTCTCTGGGCTTTATTCCACACTAGAGTGTATAACTTTTTGTCTGCGCTACTGTGTCATGCACTAAGTGGCCTGTATGGACCCTGCTGCCACACACAAAGTTCCCTAGCGTGCTCTGATGTAGTCCCATTTCAAACAGTACTACGTGAATACACACTAGAGAAATTTTAGTTCGTGGCAGCAGGGCCTACACAGACCATTAGCACATGGCACATTAGTGAGGACTAAAATCTACAACTGTCTGGTACAGTGTAGACATCTCCCCTCCCACAAGTCATTTTTGTATTCCATGCATTTCTTGCACTTGAAGACGGTTGGAGGGAAAGGGAGGGAAAAGATCACCTTGACTTCAGGCATCCTTTTTCAATTTAAGGTATTTTTTGAGAGAGCCAGGATATTCCCCATTTCTCCCGCCCTGCCTCTTTTAATTTTTCTCACTTCTAGGGCCCTGCATGATGGTAACTTTCCTTCCTACCCAGGAGAAAAAGTTGCAGCTTCTCCACAGCCAGTTAACATTTCTTCAGTGAGCCCAGAGGGATGGAGGCTACTAGAATACAGCAAGGTGTTCCTTACCTCCAGGAGCTGCAGGTGATGCCCTCTCAGTGCTCCTAGCTAGATCAACAGCTGAGAAACACAGAGTCTGTCCCAAATATACATACATTGCTGATAAACCACATAAACAGACTCTACTTGTGTTCACTTGTCCTGAATCTCTCCCCTCTATCTTGGATTGTGCATTGCTACACTTATAAAATTATGATTTGCAAGTTTACTGCTAAATCAGTAAGATCAAAATATAAACTAAGGAATACTCAACACACCAAGCACAAATATTCTGCCTAAACATCATTACACTTACCCAAAAGCACTAATTTGCTCAGAGTTTCTGAACGATCAACATAATCTCGAAGTGTGAAAGAACCAAGGGGAAGGGGTGGCTCAGCTACAATCTGCACAGCTTCTTCTTCAGAGATCTCCTCCAAAGCAGATGAAGGTGGTGTATCTTCCCAAACTAGAAGCCATTAATAAGAGAAGTGTTAATAGATTTTCTTGACAAACTGTTACAATTTCCAGTACCTTCCCAATCTGTCTCAAGAACTAGAAATTAAAGTATTTTCAGAATATGATTTTACTTATGTTGTTGCTTTCACTTGTTTATGGCATTTCTTCTGTGAGGCAACTATGATTACCAGGAAACATAATTAGCTGTAATGTGACAAAATCAAAGGACCGATTCCTTCCCTAGCTCAGCCAGGACTTCCTGGATTCCTGCTAATCCTGCAAAAGCTTTTTTGAATGCTTAACTTTAAGCATCCAAGTGGTAATATCATGTGCTTAAAACGAAGCATGTGTGTAAGTGTTAGCAGGACTGGGACTTTACAGTGCAACTTGGGCAAGTCCCTCAATCTTTGCTTCAGTTTCCCCATCAAATATAGATAATATCAGATCCCTAGCTGGTGAAGCACAATTAATAGCTGGAATGTATGTTAAGGTCCTTGGATTGATGCTGCTGTAGCAATATCACCAAAAAGCTTCCTAATAGTGAGATCTATTGAATTATGTAGTAGTCACTCAAGGGAAGCGGTAAAAGCCACATCGCGGTAAAAGCCAATTGAGACATTTAAATTTATGAAGTCCTGGAGAATATTAGCACATCTCTTTGGAACAGCCCTGTAAGGTAGAGAACTACTGCTATCACTGTTTAACAGATTAGGAATTTAGATACAGAAATAATGACTTACCCAAGACTGAACACAAAGTCTATAGCAGAGCTCAGAACTGAAACTATACATCCTGATTCCCAGTCTAATGCCTTAACCACAAGACAATCCTCCTCACTTCTGGCTGATTTTTAAAACCTACTCGTTACAGTAATTTGAGGTCTGTCTTGAAACAGCTTAGAAAAACACTTCTCTCTTTTTTCCATTTTGTACACTTGACAGCGTATTTCACATACTTGGTTTCAAAGTTTCTCCAGTTGTGTGGATCTTTCACACAGCAATAAGGAGAAACTTCTTTCTTGTTATTTTTTAAAGAAAATAAAACGGAAAGACTACAAAACTGGCAGGGACATTCGGGGCCAGTAGAATCCCTGAAACTGTATCTTTTAAAAAAAAAAACATCCATTTAGTAGATGTGAAATGGATGGTGTCCCTCTAACAAGGCTTTATATGTCAACACTTCAATTTTTCAGTACTGATAGTTTTAGTAGAAACATCCAGCTAGCATGCATAGCCAGTGTGGCTAGACAGAATAAAAGGTAGAGTTATAAATTATATCATCCATCTGCCACTGTCACTGTAGAATTGTTCCTCATATTTTCTCATACTTTGTAGAGTCTATTTTTAAATGCCCTAAAAGTTGAGATATGGCCTCTAGTAACTCTATTCCACAGTCTAAACAGAGCTCTCGCTGTTATAGAGTTTTAGATGATTTTCCAGCAAAAGTTTCTTTTTTCTCCACTTCATCCTAATATACTGGTCTGCATTTCTGGGACCAATTCAGCCCTGGCATAAACAGACAAAACTCCATGGAAGTTGGAGTACCTCACAGACTGGTTGTAGGGCTTTAATTAATGTCTACAAAACACAAAGTCCTGGTCTATGCTAGAAAAGGTACCTGTTGCTCAAGAATACATATGTGAGTTGCACATTATATGGGTCACTAAACAGCTTGCTACACTTCCACCTATTTGCACCTCTGACTGCAGAATATCAGTTTTGATACACTCTGGATGAAAGCTGACTCATCTAAACCAGATTTACACACACTTTGCACTACAGTCACAGAGGACCCAATCCTTCTCAGTTGTACATGGGGTTAGCTGCAAGTGTAGGCCAGACAAGTCAACACAGTGTAGGAAACTCACTTTTTCTAGCATTCCCCATTTGCAGAAGGAGAAAATGGTTTGTCAAAGGACACAAAAGGAGTCTTTGACAGAACCAGACTAAAACTCAGTTTCCTGGCACTATGCTCATAGCCCACCTCTCGGCTGTGTGGAAGAGAGGCCTGTAAGCAGTATCTAAAACAGTTTAAATGGATTAGTGTGTTTAAACGACTGTTTTAACACACTAATCGTTTAACATATGTTATGAGTGATATAAAAGGGTTAAAACAATCTCCAATACCTTATTTCGCAGTTGCAGGTAAATGCTATAAGAAGAATGAAGTATTCTCACACTTAGTACTTCCATAGCAATTTTTCTCCATACATATTAAAAGCCCTTTTCAGCGGTTGTTTTTTATTATCCTTATTTAGGGGTCAGGGCACAGAGTGGTTCAGTGGCTTGCCTAAGGTCACACAATGAGTTTGTGGCACAATGGAGAAGAGAATTCAGGTCTCCTTACCACCAGTCTGATATTCTGATAAGACGACTAAACTTCTGACTAGATTTAAAAGCAATCAATACGGTTTTGGATCAAATACTTGTCTTATATGACAGAAATCCTATATTAATACTGAGGTTCAAACTGAGTGAAACTTGTAAAGACTGTCCAATGAGTTAACAGCCAAATGTCAAGTTTAAAGCAGGATTTTCAGTACAGAAAAATAGAAGTTCTGACATCATGCTGCCAAAATGAGAATGCTTAGGTGGACACTGGTAAGATAGGCTACACAATAAAACGGCACGAGCCCTCATCACAGAAAAGCAGAGGAAGTATTGACTGAGATGAACGAGTCAAGTGAGACAAAACGTGGGATATGCTGGCTAGAGAGTATATGAACTAGTAGCTGTGGGACATGAGGAATACCTAGAAAAAGGTGGTTTGAGATGCTGAAGGAGGACGTGAAAGTTGGTGTCCGCTTGTTAGATGCACTGGACAAGAATGCTTGGAGACTAAGAGCCAACGACACCGAACTGATGGGACATTGTGGACTTTAAGTTAAATTCAAGTTCTTAAAGTTTCTTACCTTCATATAATGTTTTTGTATCTGAGCTGGGTATTACTTCTGCTTGCTGCTGGTCGTGGTTTACTGGAGAAAGTAAGTTACTTTCTGAAGAAACAATTTGTCCATTACTTAAGTTGGTGGACTGTAAGCGGTTCCCCAAAGATACAGATCTGTAGGTCTTCAATCCACGCTGAAGAAAGTGATTATCAGTGCACAGGAAAGATAGAACTGAAAGCTTACGCAACTGCATCCACATTCTGTGAGTTTTTCTCAGTTGCTGAACAGAATTAGCAACACTACTTGTTTTCACTGAGAAGTGCCATATGCTTATCTGCCGAGCCCAAAAAGCCATCTTCTACATAAATATGGTTCCCTGCTAAGAAAAAGGAGCACTTAATTATAAGGAGAAAATGGTCAAGAATAAAGTAATGCATCTCACTGTTCACACAAACTCGGTCCAAAGTTTAGGAAGCGGCTTTGTCAAAATTAAAGCAGAAGTAGGTCTGTGCTATCTAATGTCATTCAGCTGCCTTGTGAATTTACAAATGTGATATCCTAGAAAATACATAACTGAACAATAAAAATTTAAAAATCTTGAACAGACATTGTTTGCATTAAGTGTGTTAATTCTCAACAATCTGTTTATGAAAAAAGAATCAGGGCACCACAATGTCAAGTCTCTTCATGGGGCACTGCCAGACTGTCCTTTGGTTCTGTAAAAAGAAAAGGAGTACTTGTGGCACGTTAGCGACTAACAAATTTATTTGAGCATAAGCACATAGCACAGGGAGGTCCTGGCCACAACTGAAGCTCCTAGGTGTTATGCTAATACACATAAATTGATTACAACAGTAACACATTTAGTCTGAAAAAAGAAAAGGAGTACTTGTGGCACCTTAGAGACTAACCAATTTATTTGCGCATAAGCTTTCGTGAGTTACAGCTCACTTCATCGGATGCATACTGTGGAAAGTGTAGAAGATCTTTTTATATACACACAAAGCATGAAAAAATACCTCCTCCTACCCCACTCTCCTGCTGGTAATAGCTTATCTAAAGTGGCCACTCTCCTTACAATGTGTATAATAATCAAGGTGGACCATTTCCAGCACAAATCCAGGGTTTAACAAGAACGTCGGGGGGTGGGGGGGTAGGAAAAAACAAGGGGAAACAGGCTTGAATAGAGACTGGGAGTGGCTAAGTCATTATGCAAGGTAACCTAAGTTAATTGTATCAAATTTGCAAATGAATTCCAATTCAACAGTTTCTCGCTGGAGTCTGGATTTGAAGTTTTTTTGTTGTAATATCACAACTTTCATGTCTGTAATCGCGTGACCAGAGAGATTGAAGTGTTCTCCGACTGGTTTATGAATGTTATAATTCTTGACATCTGATTTGTGTCCATTTATTCTTTTATGTAGAGACTGTCCAGTTTGACCAATGTACATGGCAGAGGGGCATTGCTAGCACATGATGGCGTATATCACATTGGTGGATGTGCAGGTGAACGAGCCTCTGATAGTATGGCTGATGTTATTAGGCCCTGTGATGGTGTCCCCTGAATAGATATGTGGGCACAGTTGGCAACGGGCTTTGTTGCAAGGATAGGTTCCTGGGTTAGTGGTTCTGTTGTGTAGTATGTGGTTGCTGGTGAGTATTTGCTGCATGTTGGGGGGCTGTCTGTAGGCAAGGACTGGCCTGTCTCCGAAGATTTGTGAGAGTGTTGGGTCATCCTTCAAGATAGGTTGTAGATCCTTAATAATGCGTTGGAGGGGTTTTAGTTGGGGGCTGAAGGTGATGGCTAGGGGCCTTCTGTTATTTTCTTTGTTAGACCTGTCCTGTAGTAGGTGACTTCTGGGAACTCTTCTGGCTCTATCAATCTGTTTCTTCACTTCCGCAGGTGGGTATTGTAGTTGTAAGAATGCTTGATAGAGATCTTGTAGGTGTTTGTCTCTGTCTGAGGGGTTGGAGCAAATGCCCGCATGGCCCCACAGTATGCCAACATTTTTATGGCTGACTTAGGGGACGAGAGCTGAGGAAGCGGTGTTCTAAGTCAGCCATAAAAATGTTGGCATACTGTGGGGCCATGCGGGCACCCATAGCAGTGCCGCTGATCTGAAGGTATACATTGTCCCCAATTGTCCTTACCCATAACTATTTTACATTATGGCCCCACAGTATGCCAACATTTTTAGGGCTGACTTAGAACAACGCTTCCTCAGCTCTCGTCCCCTAACGCCCCTACTCTACTTGCGCTACATTGATGACATCTTCATCATCTGGACCCATGGAAAAGAAGCCCTTGAGGAATTCCACCATGATTTCAACAATTTCCATCCCACCATCAACCTCAGCCTGGTCCAGTCCACACAAGAGATCCACTTCCTGGACACTACAGTGCTAATAAACGATGGTCACATAAACACCACCCTATACCGGAAACCTACTGACCGCTATTCCTACCTACATGCCTCCAGCTTTCACCCTGACCACACCACACGATCCATCGTCTACAGCCAAGCTCTGCGATACAATCGCATTTGCTCCAACCCCTCAGACAGAGACAAACACCTACAAGATCTCTATCAAGCATTCTTACAACTACAATACCCACCTGCGGAAGTGAAGAAACAGATTGATAGAGCCAGAAGAGTTCCCAGAAGTCACCTACTACAGGACAGGTCTAACAAAGAAAATAACAGAAGGCCCCTAGCCATCACCTTCAGCCCCCAACTAAAACCCCTCCAACGCATTATTAAGGATCTACAACCTATCTTGAAGGATGACCCAACACTCTCACAAATCTTCGGAGACAGGCCAGTCCTTGCCTACAGACAGCCCCCCAACATGCAGCAATACTCACCAGCAACCACATACTACACAACAGAACCACTAACCCAGGAATCTATCCTTGCAACAAAGCCCGTTGCCAACTGTGCCCACATATCTATTCAGGGGACACCATCACAGGGCCTAATAACATCAGCCACACTATCAGAGGCTCGTTCATCTGCACATCCACCAATGTGATATATGCCATCATGTGCCAGCAATGCCCCTCTGCCATGTACATTGGTCAAACTGGACAGTCTCTACATAAAAGAATAAATGGACACAAATCAGATGTCAAGAATTATAACATCCATAAACCAGTCGGAGAACACTTCAATCTCTCTGGTCACGCGATTACAGACATGAAAGTTGTGATATTACAACAAAAAAACTTCAAATCCAGACTCCAGCGAGAAACTGTTGAATTGGAATTCATTTGCAAATTTGATACAATTAATTTAGGCTTGAATAGAGACTGGGAGTGGCTAAGCCATTATGCAAGGTAACCTATTTCCCCTTGTTTTTTCCTACCCCCCCCCCCACAACATTCTTGTTAAACCCTTTGATGATTTAACTGGGAATTGGTCCTGCTTTGAGCAGGGGGTTGGACTAGATGACCTTCTGGGGTCCCTTCCAACCCTTATATTCTATGATTCTATGATTCTATGGATTTGTGCTGGAAATGGCCCAACTTGATTATCATATACACTGTAAGGAGAGTGATCACTTTAGATAAGCTGTTACCAGCAGGAGAGTGGGGTGGCAGGAGGTATTTTTTCATGCTTTGTGTGTATATAAAAAGATCTTCTACACTTTCCACAGTATGCATCCGATGAAGTGAGCTGTAACTCACGAAAGCTTATGCTCAAATAAATTGGTTAGTCTCTAAGGTGCCACAAGTACTCCTTTTCTTTTTGCAAATACAGAATAACACGGCTGTTACTCTGAAACCTGACATTTAGTCTGGTTACGAGCATGCAATTAATATTGTATCTTGAAAGACAAGGCAGCTCCCCCTAGCCCAACAGGTACATTGCTCTCTTAGGCTATGGCTACGGTAGAGAGCTTACAGCAGTGCACCCCCAACGCAGCTACATCAAGGGGAGAAGCTCTCCCGTCAATGTAGCGCAGTCCACACCAGTGCTTAGGTCAGTGTGACTTATGTCACTGAAGAGGGGTGGCTCATTCACATGCCTGAGCGACCTAAGTTATACCAAAGTAAGTGGCGGGGCAGACACACTACTACGTGTTCCTGCTCTCAGGCAGATCCCAGAGCTAGGACCGTGCCAAGGGCTCCCAGGGACACATGAAGTAGGAGCACCCAGCAAACCTAGAGATAAGGCAGCGCTTAAAGTGGTCTGAAAAAAAGCAGGAGGGCCTAACATAGCCCCAGTCAAAGTAAGGGGTCATGCACAGGAATCAAACAATGCACAATTTCTTGTATTACAGAATCACATGCAACCGTTAGCTCATAAAGCTCCTTACAAATACTTATTGTCACTGTTTCTAAGCGAGACAACAGGCCGCGGACAAGTAATTAAAACCCCAGACATTCTAGGACTAGCGGGTGGCTGGCTGGGGGCGCAGGGGACGCTCAGACCGTGCCTAGGGTGCTGCCTCTGCCCTCCCTGGCGCGTCCGTGTCCGGAGCCCGGCTCCGAGCCTGACCCTCCGCGGGGCTGGGCTGGCGGGAGCCCCGGCACGGTCCGTGCCCCTGCGGCTTCCAGCGCGGCTAGCCTCGCCCCCAGACACAGGCCCTAGGCCGCTCAGCGGCGGGCGGGCGGACTGAAGCCTGAAGCCCGCAGCCTGCCCCGTTCCCAGCGCCCCCTGGCCCAGCTCCAGCCGCGGGCCCCAGCCGGGTGACCACGCCGGGGAGGGTCTCACCTGAGGCGGCGGCTAGGCCTCGTGCCGCGCCGCTGGCTCCTCCTCCCGTCGCCCCGCCCCCTCCCGGCCGGTCTGCGCGCAGCTACCCTGCCTCGCCCGCCCCCTTCCCTCACATACTGCAGAGGCGCTTCCTGCCCGGCCGAGACCATCTGCCGGCGGCGGGGGGTTGATACTCTCTTCCCTCTCCCCGCGCGGCCCGGCCGCTCCCTCCTCCGTGCAGTAATTCCCCGCCCCAACCCCCCCGCCTCGCCGGGGCCTGGTCCCAGCGCCCGTTTGGTGCCGCGCGCCCAGGCCCCCGGGCCGGGAGAGCGCTGCTCCCTCCCGCAGCCGGCCTCCCAAGCAGCCGCCGAGCGGAGCAGGCGGCCGGGCCGGGCCGGGCCGGGCGGGGCGGCGGCGCGCGGGGAGATGGCGTCCTGCGTGGGGAGCCGGACCCTGAGCAAGGACGATGTGAACTACCGGCTGCACTTCCGCATGATCAACGAGCAGCAGGTGGAGGACATCACCCTGGAGTTCTTCTACCGGCCCCACACCATCACCCTGCTGAGCTTCACCATCCTCAGCCTCATGGCCTTCGCCTTCACGCGGTGCGCGGGGCGGAAAGGAGGCGGGAGAGGCGGGGGCTGGGCGGGAGAGGCCCCGAACGAACGGGGGACAGGGAGGGACTGGGGAGCGCCGGGGCAGGTTACTGAGCCAGGCGTGAAGGTTGCCGGGCTCGGCGACAGGCCAGTAGCTCAGTGACTTGGGGAGGCGCCGCCCAGCTGGGGGACAGCCACACCGGGGCGGGTTGGTCCCCACCATGCGCCAGGTTTTCCTTTTTTAAAAAAAATTGAGCTGTTATTTTGAACATGGCCACAGAAGGACTGGAGTGCCCCTCCCCCCCCCCGCCCCCGGATGCTGTCATGGCATCCCTACCAAGTATTACTTCTGTCCATAAATACCATAAAGAGAAGGGTTTTTTTTTTGTTTTGTTTTGGTTTTTTTTTTTGCCTTTGGAAAGCACCTGACTGCAGCAGGGCAATGCATCCTAGACCATCATACTAGGGCTTTATTCAAACTGGCATTCATTCACTTTGCCTGGTGTTTTTTATGCACAATGTAAATCTGAAGTACAATCATTTGGGTTTGCTGTATGTTTGGTTATGTACCTGAGATCTTCATTACTGAATACATATTTTGTGTCAATCTCTCAAATTCAGATTAATTAAAGTGCTGATACCGTAGATAAAGACAAGGCATCTCTTGTGATAGTGATACCAGTCCCTTTTATCATGACATAAGACAGTGCTGTTAAGTCTGTTGTACGTTTCTTTTTCCTATTTCTTGATGAAGAAGGTAGTGTGCCGGGGAGAGGGGGTGGTGTGTGTTTTGTTACCATACTCACTGGTAAATTTATTCAGGATTAGTGAGAGTGAGCTGGAACAGATCTTATCAAACCATAGCTGTGTCTTCAAAATTTGGTCTAGTAGTAGTATCAGGTAAGATTTTGTTTTGGCCTTTTTCAATAAGCTTAATTACAATGTGTCTTATAAAGTATTATGTCTCTATCAATATATAGAGTATCAGGTACTAGAAATGATTCATATCCTTTTTTTAAAAACAAACAATCAAAAAAGCTTGCTCTCAGTACCATAAAGTCTAACTCTGATTTTTTCAGTGTTTTTTAGTTTCCTACCATGATTTTGTAAACCGTCAGTTGAAGTCTTCATTGAAGTCAAACATAGTTCTCAAGCAGTCATCTGGGACTACACCATTTCTTGTGTAGCATCACATCTTTTGCTTATTGAATGCTATTGTTTTATGCAGATCTCAGATGAACCTGGGAAAAGATCTTCTGTTTGATGCAGCAGCCAGATCCATCCTTAGTTTTGGGAACCTGGTAGTGGTTCTTCATTAGGATCTCAGGAGACAGAGGTCACAGTCCTGAAGTTGGCAGACCAGGGTGGAGCTAGACTTCAGAGAGGGGTTGCTTCAATGTGGGAAAGCCAACAAAGTAAATTTGAATGGGTGTTTAATTGCCTAATTTGCCTATTTTAGGCTTTTGTAATGTATCTGTCACCTAAATATTCAGGGCTGCTGCTGCACCTGCCTTGTTTTTCCTTTTGGATAAGCTGGTCTCTGGCTTCCCACCTCCAAATCTGTTGCTATCGCTGGGATTCCTATTGACTATGCTCCACTGTTTCCCTTTCCTCCTCTGTGGAGGAGGATATGGCTTTCATTTAACTGAGAGGCAACCAACAAAGAGGCAAATGGCAACTGAGGGACGGCTGCTGGGGGCACTCCTTTGTGAAGCACACACAGCAGCACTTAATGGAGGTGACAGGCTGTGTTTTAGTAAAGCAAGAATAAAATGCAGGACTGTATTCTCCAAGCCCCACTCCCTCAGCACCTGGACACCCCTGCCCAAGCCACTTGCATCCAGCCCCCCTTCCCCTGCTGAGCCCCAACCACCTTCACCTGGACCCCCTGCAGAGTCCCATTGCCCCTGTACCCAGAACCCCCCAATAAGCCCCTGTTCATCCAGATCTCCCCACACCCAGATTGCCCCACACAGAATCCTATCCCCACACACTAAGGCCCTTCACTCTTGGATCCTGCTGGGCTGAGCCTGCTTGACCCAACCTGGTGTGCCTGGTATGGAGGGGCAGGGCCACAGGGTGTTTCTGGGCAGGCCCAGCCCTTGCACCTGACCCTGACATAGTGCAGCCTCTCCGCTGAGTCCATGTGCTGGGATGTGCGGGGCTTTAGGGTGATTTCCCACCTCCATGCAGCCAGTGGCCTGTGTTCCCCACTGCCATGCTGGAGCCTCCACATTTATTTATCGACAAATAAAATTTGCAGAATTTTAAAATGTTGTTTGCAGAATTTTTATTTTTTTGGCACAGAATTCCCTCAAGAGTACATTTTCTTATTATTGTTTGTTGTGACAGTCATTTTGTTTCCCTGTGCCTGCACCTTCCTCTCAGGATTCCCAGCAACACCTCTTCCAAACAAACACCATAGTCTCTCTTCTAGCTCAGAAGCAGTAACCAAGCTGTAGTTTTTTCTTTCCTGCCTCTGGCAGGGGGACAGGATAAACATTCTTTTTAAAAGTGTAACTGTATTAATCCCAAAATGAACTAACTAAAGCAGTAACTTCTGGCTTTCTTAATCAAGGCTTTGACTATCTAGTATGCAGTAAGTAAAGAGGATTTACAGAGAGAAAGATGTTAAAGATTAATCACAATACTCAGGATCTTAGAAACGTGGGATAGGGAGGTAGAGTCTGATCTGTTCATGTAGTGACCAAAAAAGAAATCAAAATGCTTTATAAGGCTCAGAAATCTTGATCTGTACAAAGCCAAATGTATTTGCTGTTACATTAGGCTTAACTTAAGTGATTTAGTCCACCCTTCTCTATTATATGTGGCTAGGTTGCACTGAATTATGCAGCAATTTTACTTGATTATTAAATCATTCAGTAGCTTTCATTTTTATGGAAAACGTTCTACCAGACATTACTAAGTGAAAATAATGAATGTACACTGTTATGTGAATTTGTAGCAGAGGACTACCTCCTCTGTATGCTGGGCCATTGTGAATCTGTGGGTCGGCTGTACGAAGACAGGGCAGCAGCTCTGATCAAGGCGGAACTCCTGGAGGAGCACAGGGAGCCCAGTGCTAAGGCAGAATTCCTGTTTTTTAGCTAGTCATGGAATGACTCTAAGGCATGCATGGGTGGCACTATAACCAGGAAACTGACACTAGTCAATCTCGATAGAACAGGGGGAAGATTAGAGAAAGGTCACTGGCATGATGCACTTTAGAGAGACAAGGTGAATGAGGTAATATCTTTTATTGAACCAACTTCTGTTGGTGAGAGCTTTACTCATATGTAGGACCCTGCCAAATTCATGGTCCATTTTGATCAATTTCAGGGCCAGATGGTTTTAAAATTGGTCAATTTCACATTTTCAGATGTTTACATCTGAAATTTCAGGGTGTTGTAACCATATGGTTCCTGAGCCAGAACGGGTTGGTGGGGGGGTCACAAAGCTGGTGTGGGGGGTCGCGGGATTGCCACCCTCAGTTCTGTGCTGCCTTCTCTGAAGGCAGCAGCTGTGGAGCTTCCTGCAGCCGGGGGGAGATTCCCGGAGGTGGAGGTGGGTCTGATCTCCCCTGGGCTGCTGGGAGTCTTCAGAGCTGGTACAGCCATGAGCTTCCTGCAGCCAGGGGAGGTACCCAGACATGGGTCTGATCTCACGCTGAGAGCAGCTGTTCAGGGGAAGAGGAAGTTCTGTCCCACCCCACCCCAGCAGCTGGAGCCTGGTGAACAGTAGGAGCCCCGAGCTGGGGCGCCCCAGCCCTGCCCCTCCAATAGCTAGATTTCATGGGGGAGATCTGATTTCACAGTCTGTGACGTGTTTTTCACGGCCATTAATTTGGTAGGTCCCTTCACATGGCAGCAGCCTTCCCATGGCAGACCTGACCTAGCCAGGGCTCAGAAGCTTCCCGGGTAGAAAAGGCTGCTGTGGTACTCCACTGTAGTGTAATGTATTCTTCTTCTTTATTTGTATTACCATAGTACTTAGGAGCCATTGTCATAGACCAGGACCCTAACATGCTAAGAGCTGTACAAACACAAAACAAAAAAACCTGTTCCTGTCCCAGAGAGCTTACAATCTAAGTAGGAGATTATGCAGCACTTTGGAAGAGGGGAAAATTATATGTCCCACATTCAGAGCCGCCCCTTGGGTAGGGCGAATCGGGGCAACTGCTCCGGGCCCCACGCTTTAGAGGGCCCCGCAGGCCAGTACGATTGGCTGGTGCAGTCAGTCCCAGAAGAGACGAATCTGTCACTTCCGCCCCAGGCCCCACCCACCCCCTAGGGATGGCCCTGCCCACATTTATAATCATGCATCTGAGGCTAAATGTTATTGCAAACTCTAAAATACAGTACTATTTCCTCACTGATCCCATCCTGGCAATTATTGTGGGGCAAATTATACTGCTGCAGATTCATTTTTGAACCATCCTGAAATAAGATACCCTTATTTCACCATGCACAGCTTAATCCATTGTAAAACTAGAAAGAAAATTTGACGCTAAAAGGAAAGGAAGAAA